TTGCTGCTTTCCCAGTCATTTGGAGTCTATAAAGTCATTCCTGGATTTCTAACCAGCATCATATTGTCTTGGGCAATCTTTTCCATAATCTTAGAAAACACATAAATGCACTTAAAACAAGCACAAACCCTCTGCTCCACCAAAAAAACCCCCACTCCCCACCCTTTGTTAGTCTAACTTCTGTATTGAACTTAGTATTATCAGGTCAGAGTACAAATGGTTGCAAATCTATGTTCTACCTAGTACCTCATAAAAAACTGGTCTTTGGTAGATTTCCCACTATAAGACAGACAAAATACATTATCAATATTGCCCTGGTATTGGTTCTTCGAGGAATCCTTACAAAGTTATCCCAGGACACTGCAAGAAAAAGTAGTCTCAGGGAAAAAAACATTTTGAGAGCATAATCCACATTCTGACAAACTTTGAAAATGCAGTATACTCAAGAACCAGTAAGGCTTTTGCAGCTCACTCAACAATGTCAAATCAAAAAGGACTCCATAGCCCCAGAGTTTTAACCCTTCCTACACACTGATATTCCATATGGAAGACTGCCTCTTGAGGGAAAAAGAATATGAAGTTTATATGATTGATGGAAGAGATATATTGGTAGGAATGCTTAAAGAAAACAGCAAATGACATAGGAGTTTGTTAAATTACATAAAGGCAGATGAACCCTCTTCCCAACTACTGGGAATACCCACAGAATAAGAAAAACTCCAGTAAGCTCCTGCTCATGGTTTCCTGCATTCTGTGTAGAAAGTTATGCTATCCACTTCCCAGCTCATGAGGCAGCCATCAATCTTACTCAGTGAAATCTTCAAACAAACCACAGGAGGCAATGCCCCCCCCTACCCCACAAGTTGTATCTGTGAGTATGTCTGGGACACTCCCCAGTTTTTCAGCAGCTTTGCAAAAGCTTTGTGTTACCACAGCTTTTCCTAAGTGTGGCTTTACTACTGATGCCCTTCATAAAGGCTTTCAAGGCCTTGGAGCAGGGTTGCCAGAGAACTATTAATCTATGCCAGGCTGCAAAATAAATAGCATAGCTGCAATGCCTACACAGAATCTGCTAACAATGGATAACAATGTTGGGAGGCAGTTGTCTGATGAGCTGATGGAAAAAACCATTGTCACTGTTTGGATCCATTGAGTCAATGTTGCTGAGCTCTGTAACTGCCCTATCCTAGCACCTGAGCCAGGACTATGAGGCTCATTTTTACCAAAGTCCATTTAGCAAAACAAAAATCAGTGTCCTTGTTCTGGCTCTGCCCTGCCTGCTGCCCTCAAAGCTAAGAACTGAGGGGTGGTTCCCAAGACACAGGGAAAGAGTAAGAAACACTGAGACACTGAACTAGAATGCAGCAGGCATTATCTATCTGCCCAGATTTAGACTCGAGTCCATCATTTGCATAGGTCTGTTCTAAGCCTTCCTCTCTGCTTTTCTGCCCATAGTTTGGCTCACTCAGCAGCCTCCTGTACAACCATTCCCTTCCTTTCTGGGAACTGACAGTAGCATGAGGCACACTCAGCCTAGGCAGCCACTTCCCTGGGCTCACACAAATTGCAGTCCTGTCAGATTCCCAAGAGGTGGATGCAGTGATCTCCCTAAGAAAAAAATTAGCCTCTTTTTACCACCCAGAGAAATGTGATTTCAGTCTGCTAATGAAAAGCTACAAAATTCTGACTTTAGCCACTTCAAATACTTTTGCTCAGCACACAACTCCCAACAATTTGATACCGTTAAAAATATGGAAATACAAGAAAAACCACTGAAAGTGTCTGAAGCAATCCGGCAAACTCCAGGAAAACTGCTGGAAGGTCTTTTGCTCCATACAATCAAGACTGTAATCAGCAACAGAGAAGATAAGAGCCACATGAGCAAACTGTTTAAGAGTAATCTGTAGACAGCCAACCTGAGATGGTGTAATGCACTCACTGTACAGAGCATTAGCATAAAGGGCTCTAAAACACCTTCTAGCAGTAAAGCTGACCACCAGCAAGCTGCAAGAATTTAGGAGGTTGCCTCCACTGGCTTTCATTTGAATCTCCTCCACTGGTAGACTTCAATGGCACTTTAGACTTTGGCACTTCATCTCCCAATGATACTCCAGCCTTCATACCCATCTCCTTCTCTTCCCACACTTTATCACATCTTTCAGTGTGCCTCTTGTCATTCAAAATATGAGCACTGAAAGTTAATATATACACATATGTATTTATTGATACATATTATAAAATACATCATTTATAGTGGCAAATACATGAAGAGAAATAACAGAAAAGGTCCACCGGCTCACAGCTTTATTACCCCACTCTTCTTTCAGGAAAAAAAATTTCCATGAGGTATGTAATTGAACCAAAGAGACCTTTACATTTTACAGTTCTCCTCTGCCATGGGACTCAGTCAACAGGACTCCAGCTTTAATTTTCAAATTACTCAAGAGCACCCACAAGGGCTATCAGTAGGGTTTTACAGCTTTGGTGAAACAGGTTCTGTTTCACACTGACCATGAGCAAAAGAAACATCCTCAATAAAGTGTTTTGAGTAGAGAAACCACAGTCTTCAACAACCATTCCAAGCTACTGACAAAGAGCTTTGTTTTGGCACCATACTGTGTATTATCTTAATGAACTAGACTTAAAAATAATTCAGTCTTTCTGACAAGAGTGAACTATGCTGAAAGTCAAAATTCCTCTGTCCACAACCACTCTTTAAGCCTCTAAGCACACAGGTTCCCTATAGTATTTGGACAAGTGCCCTTCCCAGCCAGAGGTCAACTTCATATATGGCCATTGAAAGTCTCCTGCCTGCAGACTGAGACAAAATTGAAATGGTGGAGAAAACCTGTACCTCATCAAATAACAGCCCCTTCCTCTAGAATGATGTGTGAAGGAAAAAATAATGGTGGTGTTGAGTCATGTGAAATCTGCCAGACTTGAAAGCTGAGGAAAACATTTTAGCCTTTCATCCTAATTGTTTCCTAGGAGGTTTTCCTGCTGTGTGGAAAACGTGTCTAAACCTCATGTTATAGCATGACTCATAAAGTTCAAAGGAAAAATTCACAGAGTGGCAGCAAAAAGCTCACTTGTAACTTGGTCTAGCTGGTTACCCAATAATGACTAGTCAGCTCCTGAGAAACTGAACCACCTCACGTCACACAGTCGCTTCAGCTTGTGCAAGCTACAAGAAGGGTGGTTCTGCTGCTAGCAGCACGTCTGCCATAGAGCCAGTGGGGTAACAGGAGGTGGCTGTGACAGGGATAACTCTGGAGAATGAAACAGAGTAGGACATCCATGGCCAAAGGAAAATGGTGATGATGTTGAGGCAGCAGCATGACACACTTTGGATTCAATGCTCCTGGAGAGAGCAAAGAATTTCTGAAAGGCACAGTGCTCCTCACGTGCTCTCCTTTCTACTTCTCTGCCAGTTCCACTCTCATCCCCCTCTGTGGCAGCAACCCTCTTCTGGGTTTATTCAGGATGTGTCCCCATTTGATGATGACTGTGTAAGGACTCCTTCCAAAAGGGCGGTGGCAAAGGGTGCAGCTTCTCAGGAAATCCCTTGTTGTCGTGGTAAGTTACACCAAGCTGACTGTAATGAGCATGAGCTCCTCCCTTGTCCAGCGAGTGGTGTTCCAGCTCAGCTGCCTCTTCCCTTTCATCACCTCCAGTGCAAGCCTCTCCTTTCCACTGAGGAATTTATTGGCTTGTTGAAACCAGAGGATGGCTGCCCTTCAGCTTGAGACATCTCTGAGAGCCAACTCTAAAAAAGAATTGCATGAGATTGATTGGATGGTCGTGTTCAGATGCATTAAGGAGATTTCACCTGCAGCCCAGAATAGTTTTTTGAAGTTTCAAGTCTCCTTTTTCTTGCTGGGCTCCCAGGTGCTGAAAGAAGACAGCAGGGCTATTCCTGCAGGGTTAAGCAATGTGATTAAGGCCCTAATATGCAGTTATACTCAGTGGTAGCTGTGTAAGCTAGGTCTTGTAATTTCACTTATTATTTTAGTATTACCTTCCCAGAAAGTACCCCACTTTTCTTATGTCATTCTTTGTATGGAGAAATGTGATGCAAGTCAAGTTTTATTGTTAGAAAAACCCGATGATCTGAGAATATCCATTGCTCTAAGGTAGCTCTGAATTTACTGCTTTTGAAAATTCTATGGAATTCATTAAATGAAGTGAAAACTTGAAAAAAAAATTGCTTTTTACATTATTCCCCCACTCAACATTATGCTCCTGTCAAGTGTGTACTTTCAGATAAAAGACGTGAGGAAATGCTTTTTTTCCAAGTATGACAAGTGAAGGGGAACTAAAGCTAGTAAACTTCAGTTTGTATCACTTCATACTTATGTCGAGTTTATTGGCTCACAGGTGTTGCAGCACTACCTCTGAAGTGACAACTTAGCAGACTGGTCTAGAAAAAACACGTTCCTTCATAAAACGAAACACTCTCGGGGGCAGCATCTTCCTTCAGCCTTTCTCTTTGCGCATTTCCACTCTCGGCCACAGTCTGACAGCCAGCCAGGCTCTCGCTTGTAGCGCTGGCTACAGAGCATTACCTGGCGCCATGTCACACTGAGGAGGAGCAGGGCAGCGGCCCAACCACCCTCGGCACGCGGCACCAGGCAGCCCGAGCGCAGGAGTTCCTCGGCCATGGCTCATCCACGGCAGGGCAAGAGGCTGAGGAGGAGCGGAGCCGTTGTGAGGCGCGGGAGCAGCGCCGGGCCCGCATACGCAGCAACGGCGGCTCCCGCACCGCCTCTGGGGGCGCGCGCGGGGGCGGCTCCTCCCCGCGCGCAGCCGAGCGCCCAATCATCGATCGCGGCCGGGCCACAGCGCGGCACGCAGAGACAGCGATCGGGGGCGTGCCGCGAGCCCCGGAGGCGGGGCCGGGGCCGGGCTGAGGCGGTTCCGCGACAACCAAAACAACGGCCCGGCCCGGCAGCCCTTGCGCCCGCGCCCCGTCGCCACCTTCCCCGCCGCCGCCGCCCGGCGGGGCCCGCTCGGGGCGCGAGGTGGGCGCGGAGACCCCGCCCGTCCCGCTGCCGCCGCCATGAAGCTCCGCGTACGGCTGCAGAAGCGAACGGCGGCCCTGGAGGTGCAGGGGGCGGAGCCAACGCTGGGGGAGCTGCGCGCGCAGCTGCGCCTGGCCCTGCTGCCCGCCTGGGGGTACAGGTAGCGAGCGGAGCGAACCATCGCGAGGGGTGCCGGGGGGAGGCCATGCCGCCCGTGCGCGGCCCGGGCCGGCGGGACCGTACCACGCGGCGCGGGGGGAGGGATCTGCCCCAGGCCCCGGGCGCGGTGCTGCCCCCTGCGGGGCGGGCGCGGCGCTGCGGCGGCGGCGGCGGCGCTGCCCGGGCCCGAGGCGCGTCCCCGGCACTGGCAGCGCCCGGCCCGGCCGCTTTACCCGGCCCACGGCACCGGCTGCCCGGGCTCCTGCCGGGCCTGGGACCCGGGCTGCCTCCCGGCTGGGCGCTGCGGAGCGGGAAAGCAAAACTTCGGCACTGCTCAGTTGCGAAGTGCGGGTTGCAGCGCGGTCAGAGCTGACTGAGATTTCTGCGTGGCGCTGAAGTTACAAAATGCTGTAGGGTCTCGGTTTTACACTTCTCTCAGGCTTCCTGGACAATCTCGGTTGAAGTTTCATAAACACTTTATCTGCGAAGAACTCACGGCATCCTCCGTAGGAAAATGAATCGCCTGTAAAAGGGGAGAGTTTTCTGATGCTGGCTGAAGGGTTTGTGTCAGAAACCTTTAATTCGGTCCGACGCGCTGCTGTTTCACTGGTGATTCACACAGCGGTGTGGGCAGGAGGAATCCGAAGTGACTGCTTGCCTTGCCGCAGTGGGTGTATTTTGTAGCTGCTGCTGGGTAGCTGCTTCCCTGCTAACCAGTTTCGTTTCTGGTTTTTTTTTTTTTTTTTTGGCCTGAAATGTCTTATCTCATTTTCCTCATTTGCAGCTAGCATTCTATAGGACACCTGCTGATCATTGGAATAAATGTTTAGCTTGGTGAGAAAGCAAGTTAGTTGAATCTTCAACACTATTTATTTTTAAATAATCCGAGGCAGTAGCTTATTTAGATCTTGTTTTCCTAGCTGTGAAATCTTTTTTGAAGGATACTTACTTGCTTTCCTTCATAACTGTTTTATGACCAATTTCTGTAAATGAAATTTTATTTACCAAGCAGCTGCAGCAACTTAAAATGTACTTGGTGAGAAACATGAGGGAATTAATTTCATATAATCTTTTCATAGTTTCATATAATCTTTTTCCCCTCACCCATACTTCTTTTATATATGGGTAATTATTAGTGGATTAAGCCCCATGGCACAATACTATTGTAATATGCAGTATGCATTTCTAATTGTAGAATCATAGAATCATGAAGGTTGGACAAGATCACCAAGTCCCATCTTTGACCAATCACCTTGAGGCCACCTAAACCACAGCACCAATTGCCATGTCCAGTGTGTAGCTATCCAAGTGCAGCCAACCATGTTTCCTTACTGCTTTTTAAAATTATTTTGCAGTTCTGATACCACGTTTTCAATAACACTGAACAGAAAAGATGCTCTCACAGAGGATCAGAAGACCTTAGCTTCATATGGGATTGTTTCTGGTGATTTGATATGCTTATTACTAGAAGAGCCAGATGGACAGCCCAGCCTACCTCCTCTTCCTGCTACTCCTGCCCCACTTCAGAATGGTCATGAGCCGTCCAACAGTCAGGCCAACAGTGCAAGAGAAGGGCAGGTGGAAGTTCAAGAGAGTGGTGAGAGGGTAAGTACATGAGAATTTTCCTGTACAGCACAAGACAAAAAGGGAGGTGTCCTGTTGTGTCAGTTGCTGTCTATATAGAAGTGAATTTCTTGGGAATATTTGGCTCCTTATCCTTGTCTGACACATGCTTGGTTATTTGAATGGAAGTTTGTCTCTGTTCATTGTATATCAGTGTGGCACAGAAGAGAGCCCAGAGTGTTTCAGGGTTACAGGAGTATATGTTTTTGCTGAAACATGCACTTAAGGAAGTAAGGATGATGTTTCTTGCCTGCCTCAGTGTCGTCTTCTTGAGGAACCGAGTTTAGACTGGGGCAGATGCAACAGGCAGTGTTGAAGATAGGCTCTTATCTTTTCCCCCTTTCCTGACCCTTACTCCTTACAGTTTTCATTCTGCTTTTATTTAATAATGTGTCTGTGTGTAGTTTTGTCAGTTAATTAATAGCATGCCATGATTTATAAGAAAGGAAGCTACAGTGAAGCCACAGTGTTCCTCAAGTGGCAGCAGATGCACTCCATTGATTGATTTTTTTCTTTTCCTCCTCTGCTGTTTAGGCCTGTTGTGTTTGTTGGCAGTCCAAGTTGGCATTTGGGTTACTTGCTGTGCATATTGGCTAAGTTCAAATACGTATTGATACTGTAGTGATTAAATTATTCCTATGTATGTTGCAAAATTTCTGATGAAGGTTTAATATACTATGATCACTTTGCCTTCAGTTAGTATATGCAACAAAATGACAGACCCTTTCATGAAGGGTTTGCATTATAAAGATTAAAAACCACAAGGGCTACATATATGATCCCAGTCTCCATCTGGAATGCTAGAAAATGGAGGTATAATGAACCCATAAGACTTGTACGGGGAATCAGGCTGGAATAAGCAGCTGTATAATGTTGATGTATATAGAGGTGTAATATTCTGAACAAATATATGCTTTGCTTTCCCCTGAAGGCAGGATCCAGCCAAGAATTTCCTTCTAGATTAGTCCCAGAAGATCCTGACCTGGAAGAAAGTACAGGTTCCTATCCCTCTGAACCCATGCTGTGCAGTGAGGCTGCTGATGGTGAAACACCCCATTCCTTAGAGGTGCTCTACCTTTCTGCTGAGTGTACCAGTGCCACTGATGCCTTGATCGTTCTGGTTCATCTTCTCATGATGGAGACAGGCTATGTACCTCAGGTAGGTACGGGCAGCAGAAACAGAAGTTTCTGGGTCAGTGTGGGGAAGCTGTGGAATATACAAGCTGCATCTGAGGATCTGCTTCTGCCTTTCTATATGTCAGTTTGCTGTAGGGGCTGCTGAAGGGTCAGCTTCTCAAAATTCCCAGAAAGTTTTCAGGCTGAAGACTGGAGCAGCTTTTAGAAGAGGAGGCCTATCCTTGTGTTTCTGTTGTCCTCAGCCTCACTGGGACCCAGCTGAACCTCCTGCTTCTGCCTTTTACTATAGAGCATGTGAAAATGTGGTTAGGTTGTGGCACTTCCCCAAAATACTGCCTTAAGTGTCGGTATCATCTCAATGATATCCTGTCAAATGGTATTTAATGAGGTCTAAGTCTGCCAAAAAAGTGTCTCTAATTCCATATTCAACTTAGTGTCAAGCTTGGCTTTGATTGTACTAATCTGTAGAGGTATCATACTCAAACACCTGTGGCAGTACATCTGTACAATGTATGGATTCTCTTTTCCCTTTTTCATTTGCATTTTATGTTTACTAATACATGGCTGAACATGGAGAAAAAGATTTGGTCTCAGTAAGGTGTTTAAATTCTCATCTTTTTTCTTGCAGTGAGGCTGACTAAGCACATGTGGGTGTCTAGTTGACCAATACCAATTTAATAAATCTGCTAAGTTCATTGTAGCACCGTAATTTGAAGTACTATGTAAAGAATACATTTGCCACTGTGAATAAAATTTATGGCAGTGAACAGGCTTGGAGGTAGGGAAGATGAATGCTGTGCAGATTTAAGAGGAAAGAAGGAACCTACTTGTGCTTGTGGTTATATTGTATCCCACTCTGATAATCCATATGAGCTGTTTCATACTGAAATTGAAAGCAAATCTGTTAGTTGAATCAGGTATTCTAATTAACTTCAAACTATCATTCTTAAAGCCCTGTCAAATACGGTAAGTTCACAGAAAAGGTGCAATAGCTTTTTTTTGAGCAGGAAATTAATTATGTGCAGGAGTTGTCAGAATGCTGGAATGGATGACGGAATGAAGTATGTGTCTCAAAGAAAGAGGTGTGAGTGCTCACTGAATGTCTGTTCCTGTCAGGACAAAAATTACTGAACTTCACTTAGATTTGCTGTTAGTTTTGGGTACAATGTGTATAATCCTTTATATTCATAATCACTGAGTCATTAGAACTGATCTGAGAGTTGAATTGCAAGCATCATTCTGCCATTTCCTAACTTCTGATCCTTTTCTCACCCTTCAGCATTGGTACATTGCTAACGTATGACTGTGTTTGTTATCCCTTTACATTTGTAGGGGATAGAAGCCAAGGCAGTCTCCATGCCAGAGAAATGGAGAGGGAATGGTGTTTATAAGCTACAGTACACACATCCCCTTTGTGGAGAAGGTTCTGCTGGTTTGACTTGTGTGCCTCTGGGAGATCTTATTGCTATAAATGGTAAGTCAGTCAAGTCTTTGTCCTGGATGCACATTCCTAAGTATCACCATTGTTTAGGAAGAGAAAACTTAAGTGTGCTTTTGTGTGTTTTTAACTGCACCTTTATTACTTGGGTTGCTGAGGTACAGAGGATGCCGCTTCCTGATGCTGAATACTCTTTTCCAGTCTCTGTGTTGACTGTTTTTTTCCCTCTTGTTTTAAGAGATTAACCCTTAGGAGTTTCAGCTAGCCTTTTCATTGCAATATTGTAGAAGTATGTTTGTTGTCTCATTTCATAGGAACTTTGGTACACATTGCCAGACATGAAGGGAGTAGATTTGCTTCAGCTACAATGTTTTGGCTTCTTTTATGTTTTCTGCAAGACTTAAAACTTCCAGACTATGTGTTACTTAAGTAATGAAGTGGTCTTTGTTTTCTCTCTGTATTTTAAATTTTGAAATGTCTTTCTTTCTTTCTTTCTTTCTTTCTTTTATTTGTAGCAACATTAAAAATCAACGAAGAGATTAGAAGTATTAAGAGAATCCAGCTATTGCCATCATCCTTTGTTTGCTTTCAGGACCCAGGTATGCCTGAGCTATGATCTCATAGTAGTAAACTGAAAAGTAAAGAAGGGATACAGTGAGTAAGAATTTGCTTTAGTAGAAGACCAAATAGGTACAGAATAGCGAAAAAGAATAAAAGTGTGGTTACCATTTAGGTTAGTCATAACTTCTTGGCAAAAGGATTTCAGAGTGTAGCCATTTACTCACATTTTGTTGTTAGAACAAATTATATTTCTTGGATTAACAATGTAAGGAAAGAACCTTGTAAAGCTCAGTTTATCATTTGGCCCATATGCCTGTTATTTATGAGGTCTTAGGAATATGTGTGAATCTCTGGGACAGCAGTGCTGAGTGATATCCCCTTTCTGCCTGGCAGCTCAGAGCTTCAGAGGCTGGTGGTACCTGCACTCTTGTTGTGGTACTGTAGTTGTTAAATTCCTCTTGTCAGAAAACATGTGCTGACCACATAGTTTCTCCAGAGTGCCGAAATTAGAGTGAAAACTAAGTTGAGGGAGAAGGGCAGATCCATGTGGGTCTTTGTGAGCACAGACCTGACCATCCTTATATTCTCTGGAGTATATGAGTTGCTTTACTGGCAGTCCAGGCTGACTCAATTTCCTACATTCTGTGTAGTCCCTGATATACAAGTCTAATTGAAAGGTTGTAGAAGAACTGAGTGCTGAAGTGTGTCCAGTATAACACTAAAGTCTTCTTGCTCCTCTTTATTCAGAGAACAGCATGGAAGAGTACTTCTGTCAGAGGAATGAAGGTTGCAGGCTCTTAGAACATAGATCTGTGCTAGGCAGGAGCTTTGAAGTCTGACAAAGGAAGCTCTGACAGCTTGAGAATCAGTTTGTTGCCAGAGAACTCAAGTCTTTCCCTTAACTGTGCGTTCTAAGGCTGAAGGAAAAGCTTAGCCCAATCATGGTTTCTAGTTCTTCAATGACTGACTTGTTGCAGGATTATTACACTCTAGATGCAGAGCTGCTCCTATCAAGATCACAAGCAGAAAAAAGCTGTGCTAATAAGAAAACTGTAATTCTTATATAATTGTTGCATTATAACCTCTTGAAGTTAAGCTTTTTCCCTCTCTTCTTTGATAGAGAAGGTTGCAGGTGTTTACAAAGACCTTCAGAAATTGTCCCGTCTCTTTAAAGACCAGCTGGTTTACTCTCTCCTAGCTGCTGCCCGACAAGGTGAGAGAAAATGTTTGCAATTAAAGATGGTACTTAATTTTTGAGGATGGAAGGAAGGGAGTCAATCTAAAGCCTTGAAGGAAGAGTGTTAGAAACAGCTGTTCAGTGATAGGCGTATAAACAGTAAAAATAAAGTAAAATATACATGCTAAAGAAATCACATTAATCTTTGTAACTCAGAAAATGTTAATATAATTCTGGTTTTAATTTTGATTGCTCTACTCTCACTTCAGAGATGGAAATGGAGTGGCTGTTTTTGTGCATAATGATGAGGAAATCCTACCACAATAATTTTATAGCAGTAGTTCTGTAGTTTTGATCTATTTCTTTGTCAAAACAGAAACATTTATTTAACATCATGTTTGGAAGTCTGACCTCAGGAATGATCTTACTAGGAACGGTCCTTGAGGGCTTGGAAAGGATGGTAGGAAGTAACCCAGGCTGGTGTTTGTGAACCAGTAGGAAGCCAGGCTTTCTCTGCATACTTACTGCCATAAACGGTCTCAGCTTTGTATTCTGAAGACAATGGAATTCCCTCTAGACTTCAGTGCATGAAGATTTTATGTGAAGCATGTGCTCTATATTTGTCTTTTTTGCAGGGTTATGAAATTGGGCAGGTCTTTCTTCCCTTTACTTATTCCTTAGCTCCGTAGCCTATAAGCATAATTTAGTGTGCAATGTTTCTTAGGCATAGTGCTCAGTATAAAGTGTCATTTGTCCTATTTTGTGCACCTCTTAAGTGTAGTTAGAGTTGCAAGAGATCTGTTTTGCAAGGAGTCACATCACAGTAGTTGCTCAGAAAAGTGGTGTAACTCAGGCATCAAAGGGAGAGGATGTAAGGGAAAGATTATAATGTTCTTTCTTTCTTTTAGGGTCTTTGGAGATAGAAGCACTGTCTAAGAGATGTCGAGTTTACTGTATTTTTTTCTGAACTTTCTTTTTCCTTTCTGTAGCTTTGAACTTGCCAGATGTGTTTGGGTTAGTGGTCCTTCCTCTTGAGCTCAAGCTTCGGATTTTCAGACTCCTGGATGTCCGTTCCCTGATCTCTCTCTCGGCTGTTTGCCGTGATCTCTACACAGCTTCCAATGACCAGCTTCTGTGGAGGTTTATGTACCTGCGGGATTTCCGAGGTAATGTCAGGCACACCTTTTTCTCATTACGTTCTCATGTTGACAGAGGGCTTAGTTCTGACAGGCTTTGATAAGAGGCTCCTCAGGCAACCAATAATGATATTGAAATACTGTGAGTAAATGAGTTGTTTGTGATACTAATCAGTACAGTTGATCAGTGTGTGATTCAGGGGGATGCAGAGTTTTCTACCAAGGAAAATGGTTGGCAATCTTCTGAGCCATTATTGATGCTCCACATGGTTCATCCCATTGTGTGGTGCAGGCTTTCCTTGTTTTCATCTGTTTCCTTTGCTGCCTTGGTGTATTGGCTACTGCAGATATTAGGAAATGGAGGGAAGATATATTCCTGCTTCAATTTCTCACAAGAGAGTTAAGAAACAAAGGTAATCAGGGGAAGTGCTGTCAGAAGGCAAAGGCAGAGATGACGTTTCTGGGATTTCTGTATTTAATAACATTTCAAGATCATGCTTTACATGGAATGGGTGTGCAAGTAGATTACCTATCGAATGTACCTGGAGCTTTATATTTTTTAAGATACATTATCTTTAGAAAAAGATGTATTGACCAAAAGTGTTTTTCATATCTTGATTATTCTTTGAATTCTGACAAACTGCAAATATCTGTGGCACAAGATCTGTTGCTTTTCCTAATGCTTTGCTTCTCTTTGTAGATCCTATTGCAAGACCTCGTGACACAGATTGGAAAGAAGTAGGTGGCTTTTTAATATTATCTCTCTGAGATCAATCTTAGTTTGAGAATTAAGTATAGACTTCGGGAGGCAGTAACTTTGAGTTAAAGTTTAGCTTAGAAGTGTGGTATTTTGTGTGTGCATGTTGGTCAGACTAGCAGAAAGGAACATCAACAAGTTGTGGGGCATGCTTCATGAGGGTTAGAGATCTTCAGGGGTGCTGTGCCTGGTCTTTGGTGGGCAGGGGAATTGCTGGTCTGAGTTTTCAGGCTGGTGAGGAGCATGTGCTGTAAAACTGAATGCAGCTGCTGAAGCTGGAACACTTAGAGAGCTTTAAAATACTTTTTTTTTTCTGTCTGCAGCTATACAAGAAAAAGTTGAAACAGAAGAAGGAAGCCCTGAGATGGAGGCACATGATGCTTCTGCCCCCTATACCTCATCCAATCCCCTTTCATCCCAACCCATTCTATCCTAATCCCTTTCCACCCAACCCATTCCCATCAAATCCAATCTATCCCCCAATGATCATTGGGGGAGAATATGATGAGAGACCAACACTTCCATATGTTGGAGACCCAATTAACTCACTCATTCCTGGCCAGGGAGAAGCACCAGGTCAGTTTCCTCCATTCAGACCACATTTTGACCCCATTGGCTCCCTGCCTGGAGCAAACCCCACGCTTCCAGGACGAGTTGGGCCCAGTGACAGGTTTCCACCTCGACCCAGCCGGGGCCGACCCATGGACATTCGCCGTGCATTCATTTGATTGCTGCTTTTTCCTGCAGGGAGTTCTGTAGTTGCTGAGCTTGCTTTCTAACTGTAGGAGATTGCAGATCCCAGGCACTAACATCTGCCTTCAGACTGTGTCAAGAACATGTGTGCATGGTGATGTCCCAACTGCAGAGGCTGGGTTTGTTTTGTGCTCTGGTAGTGCTGTATCACCTGGCACTTAAGGTCTGTTCCTCAAAGAGCTACGACTTAGAGCAGTTTGTTCTGCTGCCCCCCTCCTTGCCCTTGATCGTCTGTGAAGTGCTACTTAGAGACCAGAATAACAGCCAAATCCTTACTGCATCAGATAAAGAGCACTTTAAATACAAACCCTCTACTTGTCTGTTTTATTTGAAGAGTTTTACTGCATTGCCAGGATGAAAGGTTTTGTTTAAAATCTATTCAGCTAATTAATAATCGTTGTTAACAAAAAAGTTACCACATAGAACAGGATACTGCCACTGTTATGGTGGATGTGTGTTCATGGAAATTTTTAAAGGTGTTGTTTCCTTTTTCCTTTAATGTTTTATTAGGTAAAAAGCATTTTTGTATTGTTACTTAATGCACAAAGAATACAGCAAAGGGATTTTCTTTACAATGGAAATATTAGAACACAAATAAATTCATTTTACAAACAATTGAGTAAAGTCATGCCACAGTGCAACTCAGAAGTTTAAGCAGAAGCAGAACAATTTTACAAAGAATCAGCAGCAAAACTTTTGACTTTGTCCTTGACTTTACAAATAAGGATCTGTAGTACACGACTGCATTTACTGTGTTTGAACTAAAAGTGGTGTGAAAATGTATCTGTTCTTCCTATCTGACATACTTAAAGAATTAAATAGGCTGAACCTGGTTACAGTGGGGATGGAATCACAACAACATAAGAAGCAGAATGTGTTCTGACTTTAGTAAATTCCATTTAGTTCCATTACTTAAGTATCAGATGATAACTTGCCAAAAAGAAATGTGTCGTAGCATGTTATGAGCACCTTTCAAGTGTTGTCTCATTAACTAATGAGCAGCTAACAAGACCACTGTTAAGGTTTCCTGATGAGACCTGCAAACTGATGCTGGAGCTCAATTAAAGGAAGACTGGAATGACTGAACTTTGCTAGAACTTTTAATTTCTTATGTATTTTTTAAGATGATTGATCTCAGTGTTTCTATAAATGTGAATGGTACTAATGGCTGTTGTGACAACTGATATTATTTTCTAAAACTTTTTTGAAATTCCAGCTGTGGAAATGGAATGACATTTCCTGTTAAATACAAGCTATTTAATCAGTAATTCTTATGTGCTTTTTCTGGTGAGATTTCAGTGGTTCATCCTCTCGTTTTGTATAAAATCAGCTGACATTAGAAAGGTCAGGGAGTTTTGCCAGTGGAAGTAAAATATAATACTTTATTTTGCTGTCAAAAGTTGTATTGCTTCTTTCTTCCTTTTCTTCTTCACAGAGATAGTTTTCCTTCCCTACCAAGATTAGCCTTAGCTTTTGCCTTCAGTGGTTGAATTGCCTTGTTCCAAAAGCATTTTCACCAGTGAAATGCATAGTCAGATCTCTTAGAGTTTGCAGCAATTCTTTATATTCCACTGACTATAAAAAGGAAAAGGTAAATCTACACTGTATTGGTCTTGCACAATTTTGTCCTTGTGATGCTTCAGCAGTGCTTCAGCAATGCGTAAATAATACTCAGATAAGGTTACAGAGCTTTAACTGATAAAATAATTCATAACTTATCTTTTTTCTTTCTTTTCCAAGCTATTTCTGGGAACAGTGATCACATAATGCGTGTTAGAAGTTAATTTTGTGGTGCCAGTGGTGCTCACATTGCCAATGCCTTGATGACAGTCGCATGGTTTGCCCTGCTGGCAAGCCACGTGCTGCTCTGGAATTGGGCCCTCTTTGCTGAAGACAACCATGAAGTCATACTTCTGCAGGCTGATGCCAGAGGTTCAGTTTATCCTGGATTTTGTCATTGAAATGTTTGGTTTTGAAGTAATGAACTCGGCCCTTTTACACATACACCACTAAGTGACCTGAAGATACTCCTTTCCTTTTTTTGTTGTCCCTCACATTGTAGTAAAGGTGTTGTGAACCAAAGATTAAGAAACCTGAATTAGCTGGAACTGTAAAGTTCCTTAAAGAGGAGTTCCTGTTATTCATAAAACAGGGTATAAAGTATAAAGTGAGTATCTCAGGACCAGCAGTATAAAATTAGAAAACAAAACAGAGGAAATACTTGAAAACTAGTTGCTTGTTTTTTTTTTTTTTTTATTTCCCAGCTCCTAAGTTAAGTGTGTATATCATTGCTGTTGCAAATGATAAAAGAGAAATCACAAAAGATGAAATGCCTTAAGATAAGCATTCCTTACCTGTACTAATCAGTATCTAGCACTGTAAAGGTTGCTACTGAGTCACTTGGAAATAAGGAACTATTATGCTTGGCTTTTCTATGTATTGTTTTATCTTAGTAATGAAACTTCAGGCCAACCAGATGAAGCAGCTGAGGCATACACAAGGTCTATGAGTCATACACAAGGTCTTACCTACTGCTTGTGATTAGTGGAAGACTGTAAAATACCACTGCATTTAGAAGTGGTATTTTTTAAGCAGGACTGCTGTTCTGCTGAACCTTAGCTTGCCTGGGAATGTGTGTTCCATTTCTCTTGAAATACCACACCTAGCTATGACAAGAAAGTCAAGGTGTTCTTCAGTTTGTAGCTAAACAGCAAAATGTAAACTAATTTTCCAGGTGGTGGATATGGTTGGGTGTCATAGCTGTGTCCCAGCTACTTCATGGGCTGGACCCAAACACACAAACCTATTCATGTTTCCTGGCTTCCATGTGAAGAAACTTAAAGCAAATAGGACAAAAGAAGCTTTGACCACGTTCTCATTGTTCTCATCTGTGCGAGAAAGATCCCAAGGTGTGCTGTGGGGCTTGTGTGGCTTGTGATTTAAATGTAGCTTCTCTTTACCAGTTTTTCTGTTGTTTTCTTACTGCCCCTACTGTTATATTTAGGTACCTAAATGCCTCTTGGGTGTACCTTTGTTTTCCATTCATATAAAAGAAGAATACCCCTTGTATTCCCTCTTCTCTTTTTTTAGAGGGTAAGGATTTTGGAGTAGAAAGCCAGCATCAAAGGTGATAATTTGAAGATGGGATGATGCATTTGTGAATCTCCTGTTAGCGCATCTAGTATGTGAGCATCATAGCTGTAGATGGGAAGCGTACTGTGGGGACAGTTACAGGACACAACAGATTTTCATCATTCTGGCTTTAGAAATCAACTCACTGCTTTAAAGCACTTCTGTGAATAGAACTGAAGGTGCTTTTTCAGGAACCATGGACTAACTAAATTAAGCTGAGAGTGCCTGTTGTTTGTACTTGATGTTACAACTTAAAGCTAGGCAGTGAGATGCAATTCTGTTTGCTTGTCCCTCAAAAGGCGACAGCTGGGAGCTGTAGGCAAATGAAGAGATTGAGTCACTACTGGGAATGAAAGCTGCCAGTGCTGTCCTGTTCCTGTGGTCTGTCAGAGGACAGCCCTGCTGTGTTCAAATGCAGCCTCAGCAAATGACCCAGCTGTTGCACTTTCAGTGATGAACTGCTGTTGATTTATGGGACCATGTCATACTAGTCACCATTCCTTTTTTGTATATGGTCTATTGGTGAGGGAATCATGGAATTTCAGGGGATAAAGCAATTGAGGATTCTCTCAGTAAACTTTCATTTCTGTCTCTGCATCTCTGGTGACCATTCAGAAGGGAAAGGCATAAACCATGCTGAAAGAAGTGTTACAGAAGGAAATCCTCTTCTACAGATAGTGAAGCCTGTTAATCTACTTCTCTTGCCAGTGGGACACTGCTTGCTCAAGGCCATTTCTCACTCTTTTATTGCTCCTGGAGACAACACAGCAGGGATTGGGTTTTTTTTTCTCAGATGATGACATATATTTATGATGCTACATGGTAAACTGCTTATCAAACCCTGAAGGACAGCACAGAGGTGAGGAAAGCAAAACAGAAGACAAACCATCAGAGAATAAGATGGTTCTGTAATACTGAACTTGAGGTATCAATCATTGATCCAGATGAGTCTCTTGAGGGACTTCCAATCTGGAAAAGCTGTGCTGTTATTTGCCATTATATGTGCAAAGGCCTGCTCAGGGGTAGGTCATACAAGGTCCAGATGACTTCATTGGATTTAGATGTTCATTACAGGTGCTATGCAGGAAGGATTTCCTTGTTTGGCTTTAGTCCCACCAGTGAATCATAAGATCCAAGATGGCTAATGCAGATATTGCTTTTGCTGCTTTGGGGATCTCCTTGTTTAAGTGACAGCAAAGATCTGGGCCATTGGCTCAAATACTTTTTTGACTTACTGGCATCCCTGGGCATTCTTAAGTATCATCATGGTGAAGTTGCCAAGGGAAGCACAAAGCCAAATCTGGCCTCAAAGCTGCATGTCGAGGAGGTGAGATGAGGACTGGCACCTGCGTTAGGTGTGTTCCTAACAGACCTCCCTGGGTGCAAGGGCTAGGATCTCAGCTGGTATAAATAGCTAGAAATTTATGGATTTACCTAGGATGAGTTTTTTCAATCATGAACACAGGTTGTGTGGGGTTTGTCATGTCCCAGTTCCAGTCTATGTGCACAGACACACACAGCTTCTTTCAGTGTTGCAGGATTAGAAGAAAAGCACATCAGCAAAGATCCATCTCTGTCTTCTCTGGAAGAATAATTCTTGGGAATGGTCAGGGAGAACTAATACTGATTGTTACTGCTTGGGATAATCCCATATGTGCCCTCCTGTGGTTTGGTGTCTCAGGAAGGACCCAGGTCATCTTATTTGTGAAATGTAATTTTCCAGTTCTATTGCAAGTTTGTCACCTTGCATTCATTTTGCATTCACCCCAGCAAAGTCAGTGGGAATTCAAGGCGGGAGACAGGATTTCACTCCATCTCTCTGTCCATTCAGTATTATGGAACACTCAGCACACAACTATGTGCACTTCATCAGATCTGCTATTAATTAAGCATGCTCCTGAGGGACATACACAGCCAGATGTGACCAAGTCACCAAAGTGCTTGGAGTTTAGCTGGGTTTTGTCTGGAATTTGTGTGAACTGTGAGTGTGAACTCTGGTGTTTTCAGGGGCAGAAGTTGTTTTTTTGTGTGGAAGACCCATTTCTTAGGTTATTTTTGAACTAAGGCTACAGGGTTAGAACATGACATTTTTCTCTCAGACCTTGGGAGTCACACGCAGGGGACATAAATGCAAGGCATGAAACAGAGATGTTTTATCTGCTATGAGCAGAATGATCTGGAATAAAGCAGCAGACCATCTGGCTGACCTGCTTGTGTGATCTTTGGTGCTTACTGATGCCTGGTACCGTCTTTATCTTGAACGTAGTTTTGCTCTGAAAAGTGACCTTTTATGAAGTTGCTATAATGAAATTCCACAGTTCACTGGATGCTCAAGCATGCTCACTTTGTTGTTCAATGGATACTTATTCTTGACTCTGCCTTTGCATGGGTGTTTCTGAAAGAAGGCTTATTTTTTTTAGCTTGATCTTAACAAGAATTCAGTAATTGGAATTTAATTGTATTGACTATATATGAATTAAAATAAAACCTAGTTTGCACTGTCATAACTGTGTTGACTCCACAGGGGTTAGCAAGAGTAAAATTTGCTTTACAACTCAGAACAGATATTACTCTGATTATGCACAAAACCCAATGAAACACTGACACTTTTATACAGTCACTTTTCAGATCATTATTTGAATATTTTCTTTGTATTAAAACAACTATAGTTCTCTAAATTCCCTTTACCCAGGTGTTAGTTGTAAATCGCTGGGTTCACTGAGTGTATTCCAGGATGACATCAGGTATGACATAATGTAGAATGAGGGCTGACAAAAACACAGATCCAGCTGCAGGACTGTTAATCAGAAAACAGGCTAGCAAATGATTTCCTCAGGTTGCGGATGGTCTCAGCTTTTGCTTCATCTTCAGTGGCATTTCCTCGCTGAGATGACTCAGGTATGCTGAAGTTGTTTGTCAGGGACTGCGATTTGCTGAAAGGGAAAACAGAGTTCAGTCTCAGCAGGAGAAGGTGGAAATTCAAAGCTGGTTATTCATGCTTTGTGTTTCATCACAAAAACAAATGCTAGGATAAAAAGATAGGTTGGCATGGAAAATATCCATGTGCTAAGATATCCAGGAATGGGGGAGGTAGGACAGAATGAGGCATGGGCAAGTGGCTCAGTCCAAACTGGTAGGTGTTGATGAAAACATCTGACTAGAAGTATGCAGTTGCTATTTGGTGAGCTGTTGTGAGACACCCTGAAGTAATTTCACTACTAATACAGAAGAAGAGATTAATATTGGGGGTCACCTGTCTTTCATCAGCCTCACCAGAAATGATGGTCTTGGCCTTTCAGCTGTGAGAGCCCAAGAAGCTGGGTAAGTTGGTATCCAGATCCCCTGCAATGTGTGCTGTTTCCTGTCCTTCCCAGCCTGTCTGCTCTGACTGTCAACTCTCTAATGCAGGTCTTTGGGTTGACCACACTGCTCCTGCTGACTGTGTATCTGCTAGCGATCAAGTTCAGATCAGGACGTGCTTTTGAAGTAAATGTCCCAGTTTTCCCTGCTACCATGCTTAGTCTCTTCTGATCAGTAATAGGTATCCAGCACAAAAGTAGACTGGAAAAAGTATCTGAAATACGTATAGTGTGGTGACTGCATCCTTAGCACCAACAGTTTGATCCTTAAATGCATCTCCTTTAGTTTTTCTTGCTTGTATAAACGTAATCACTGAAAGTTTTTTCTAGAACATCGCTCCTCTGCTTCTCAGAAATTGTCTTCTTATTCCTAGCCTATGTTTTATTCTGGCCTGTTTATACCAATTTTCTTGTGTTAACTTTTTGTCAGCATCAGACATTTTTTTGGTCAGTTTTCCTGTCATGGCGCCAGCTAGATATTCTCCACACAGGGTGACAGCAAAAGCTGCTTCCAAAGATCCACAACAATTCAGCAGTGTCCTCTGCTCCAGAAGAGTGCTTCCACATACAGTCACCATCTGGAATTTTATATACATGAATAGGGCCACTTCCCCCTGTCTCCCCAGCCTTTTTGTTACCAAATGCAAAAAGAACCTTTGTGGCTCGTGCACTTAGGAAATAGTGAAGGAATAACCCCTGGTGAGCTTTCTGGCCAATGTTGTGCTGTTTGCAGCCTGTGAGGATTATACACCCTGCTGGGAAGGTGGTGGCTCTGTTGATATGGCCGGGGTAGAGCACACGATGAACACTGAGCACGTGAACAAGAGGAATAATGTGAAATCTTTGTGATGTCAAATACAACCTGTTTTTCCTGACAACAGGTCACTGGTGCGCTGTTATGCCAAGGGATACACATTTACCTCTGAAGTCACTCACAGTTGTGCAGGCCTTTGTCCCTGGGGACTGCTGCTTGACAACAGATGATATATTCTCCACGTCAGCTCAGGATACTTCCTGGACAGCCTTATTCTAATGTCTACAGATACTAGGAGTCTGTCAGAGACTTACTTCAGATGTGGGTGTGGGGTGGTTTGCTGCTTGGACATTTCCGTGGGGCTCGGCTGGCTGGGAGCCCGGCCTTGGGCAGGAGGCCGAGGCTGCTGTGGAGGGAACGCGCCTGCCTTGGAGGCCTGCACTGGAGAGGAGCCAGTTGCTGATCGGATTTGCTGTGGAGATCCAGGTGACCTTTGCTGCTGAGGGGAAGTGGACTGGGGACTCTGAGGCTGCTGTCCTTGAGGAGACAGCCGCTGCTGTGGGGGTGCGTTTGTTCGGGGAGGCTGAGGTCCTTGTGGCTGGCGTGGTCCACCTGAAAGGGACATGTAGACATAAACATGAGGAAGTGCATGTGGCGGGCAACAAGCATGGAACATCTCTATGGAAGGATGAGTTTTGCTAAGAGGAGAGACTCTTTGGAATAGCTTTATGGAGAAGAATATGGCAAATAAATACTCTCTTACAGGCCTAAAATTGGTGTGATTTCCTTCTCCCTAGAGTTGTCCATTTCTCTACCTTCTTCAGCACTAAAGAAATTTCTCCGCTCTCCCCAAAGGGAGTCACTTCAACCTGCCTTACTCTTCATGTATCTGATGTTTCTTATCCTTGGTGAGCACTTCCTGCTTGGGTAAGGAAGAGTCACTGGAGAAGCAACTGTGTGGGAAATGTAAGCTGACCCTGCTGGTTTGGGTCAGCAGCCCCTTCACGGGCCCAGCAGTTTGATGTGAGACATTCCATCCTATCCCTACCCTCTGTTCCAGAACCATCACCCAGTGCCTTCAGTTGCTTTGGCAGCAGACTCTAAGAACTGAAGAGGATGTGGAAAACAATTGGACGTGACATGAGAAATTGCTGGACAAGACAGATAATACTGTGAGAACCTGACAAAAGTTGCAGATAGTGTTGTGAGGTCTGGCTGGATTTCACAGGTGGTCAGGGGAGTTATGTGAGAAAAAGTTTTACAGAGAATTGAAGGGGAGTACTGGAGACAGATGGAGAGTAGTATCCTGCAAAACCAACAGCTCATATCAGTAATAGCATGGAATGCCAAGATTACATAGAAATGCTCAATTTTGGATGCAGCAAAATGATGACCAATGAGGAAAAGATAATTAGAGAAGGGTGTTAATTTGGTAGAAGGTTGAAATGGAGAAAGGAAGGGAAGGTGGCAAAAATGAGGGTCTAATGAGTTATGTGGATTGAGTGCTTGGTTGATCTGGCTACCCATGGGGCAGCCCTGCGCTTCATCACCTCAGTGTACATCAGGACAATAAGCCAAACCTCTTGTTCTGACCAAGCCACATAAGTCAGAACTGCTTCTGCTGTCAGGAGGAGCTGGAGGTGTGCTCTTGCTGACATGGGAGCTCCTGGACAGATGGATCAAGGATCCTTGCATTGCAACGTTGATGTCTGTTCCAAGCCTGACAACACTAGCATCTTCTTATCAATTCTTAACACTTGTAACTGCACAGTTTTGTGCAAACACAATATACTCTGTGCCCACAATCCTGCTCCAGTGCCCGTTCAAGTGGCCTTGTTTTGCTGAGCCAAGTCCTACCAGTGGTAGGACTAGACCTATATCAAATTTTCATCCCACTTCCTAAGCTTTTGTGGAATATGACAGTATTTGCTTTAATAGTACACTGAATTTGCTGCCTGCTTGGCAGTGAATTGGAAAATGAGCAAAACCTTTATCCTGATACCCTTTATTTAGAAGGCAAACTGATAGGACTCAGAGTCACCACTGACATGGGAATCAGAGAACTGTACCTTGTGGAGGAGGCCGTGGTTGTGACAGCTGTCCAAGTGGAGGTCCACTCTGAGATTTCATTGACACAGGCTGAGCTTGTGGAGGCTAGAGGGAAAAAAGCCAGTCCAGTTAATACAGAGTCCCCAAAGAGAAGCCCTGAGGTAATACAGGAACTGTAGTCATGAAGTGTTCCTTAAATACACTCACACACATGCAGCATCTGGCTGGTAAAATCTCAAGGGACTAAAATGGAGAGGTGAGTCAAAAAAGAGCACAGAAGTTGTTTGCTCACAGGGGATAACAATGAAATGAAAATTTAGAATGTTTTTAGGCAATCAGGAATTACCAAAGTATCTGGCCTGAGGGATTCTCTCAGTCCCATCTCCTATTTTGGACAGTTGCCAGCACCAGATGTTCCAAAGGAAGGAGGGATGAACCATGGAAATGTCTATGGAGTAATCATCTATGTAACCCTAAGGGGTCTCCTCTTGATTACTAATAAGCATGGGTCAGCTTCAGCCCTGAAACATGAAGCTTATTATCTGCTCCACAAAATCTTTGCAACAGTTTCAGATATTTTGTTTTGATATTTACATCCAGACCCTTTGAGTCATGCTCACCTTTCAGCCTCATTGTCTTTCCCATTTCTTATCTCTGTTGCTTTGTTCTGAGTTTTGAGACTAGTTCTCACAACCTGCCCATGCTAGGCCATTCATTATTTTGCAAACATTCACTGCCCTCTCTCTCATTTACCTCCTTTCTAAAGCCAAGAGACTTCAGAATCCCTCCAGTCCCTCCATGGGAATATTTCCAAGCCCCTAATTGTTTTCACCACCAACTTCTCTTTCCCAGCTTTGTAATTTCTCCTGCAGATGCCAGAGATGGGTCTGCTTATATTTTTCCAGATGAAGCAATATCTGGGTTCTCTGTATACATTGCCAGTTCATTTTTCCTGCATCCTAATTTCCTGCTTTTCCCTTGTCAACACAACCATAGGCTGAGCAATGGTTTTCATTAGCCTGTATGCGACAAAGTATTTCACAAGGGAATGGCTGGTGCCACTTGAAAGTTCTGCACATTGTTTATGCTCTCCTTCTCTCTACCCCCTGCTTTGCTTACCCTTCAGTCTTCCATATGGAGTTTCATTTGCTGTTGTGGTGACTGAACATACATAGCTCTGTCAGATGTTCTTCACTGCCATCACTGGTCCTGACTAATGCAAATAATTTGGTGCCATCTGCTCTTTCTTCTCTCTCACTGTTTAATCTTTTTGACAGATATTTTAATAAACAGATTAAGCAATGCAGAGCTGCTGCACAAAGGGCTGGTCCAAAGTTGACAAAAGTCTGAGTAAGCTTATTGCACAAAATAGTTTATGAAAACCAGAAAAGCTGGAGACAGATAGGCTGGTACATGCTGGATTATTTACATGCAGAACATCATGATAAAAGGGTCTTCAAGGCTCCTGGAAGGTCAGAAGAATGAGCTAAGTGATTCTGGAAATGTGAAGAAATGTTTCATAGTTGGAAACATTGAAATTAGTTTCAACTGACTAGCAGAAATGTGATGAAGTTGCCAGTCCATCTTTTGCACTATTTACCTGGGACTTGCGAATGGGCGGGGAAGGAAAATCTGGGAATTTTCCATTCATGGCTTCTAGCCCTACATAGCTTGGGAACTAAACCTTGCCTTGGTGTTGATGGAAATTACCTGTTCTGATGCTGTGAGATGTCTTGATTAGACCATACAAAGAAAAGGAATTGGATCTCCTATTCACCTCTACAGTCTCTCCCTACAGCCAACCAAGGCATCTCAGAAATAAAGGCAAAACAGGTTTTTGAGGCTGAGAGATGAAGGGGTGAGGGCCAGCCCAAAGTCTTCTGGTGGTAGGTCAGAGAGGCAAGGACAGAACCACATTGTAGCCATGGCACCGGGTTTCATGTTGAAGGCATGAAAGCAAACTTGTCATTAACATCTTATCCTGTCCTGGGCTCAACCAACCCATTTATCAACATGGCCAGGTGCAGTATCCTTGAAGTATCCCCTCTGCTAACTGTTTGCAAGAATTAAAATCTGTAACATCTATATCTGAGGTCAGCTTCTGCTACACAATAAAATTTTACCTTTTAGCCCCTCCATGCTTTCTTTTATAGCTTGTCTGTTACCTTGCCTAAGGCTTTTTGACTAGCTACATCATTCTGACTGCCTGTTATCTACCACTTCATGAAAGTATTCCCAAAGAAATGAAAGGAAAAGAATCAAAAAGAAATGAATGGGACATTTTTTCTTCTTTGCAAAAAATCATGTGGTAAATGCCCTGAGCTGTGGTTTCTGCTGATTTATTTATTCTTCTGTATTCTTCTTTAAATTATCATTTGAGATAATTCATAAAGTCTATGACTTACTTGTCTAAATTTTTCTACATTACTCTTACAGCTTTCAAACCACATATTTTGTATTTGTTCTACACCAGTCCTCTGGAGCAGTAAGTATTTCTAAGGATATTGCACAGTTTTTTTGTACAAAAAAAAAAAAAAAAAAAGAAAAACTATAATGAGGCAAAGAATTTCCCTGCTTTCAGCAATTACATGTACTAGAGTCGCAATGCTGTCTCTGTTGTCTTCTTTTCCTCCATAAAATTTGGATGATCCATAGAACCCACCAATTGTTTGGTAGGGTTCCATTTTCTGAAGAACTCAAACAACTTTTTTCATTCTTTCCTCTATCTGCTCCTCAAAATTAATTTCTATCCTTTTTACATTTCCTTTTATTACTTGTAGGATGCCACATAAAGGTCTTCTTAAATGTCAGATTTCCAAATTGGGAAGACTTTTTTCCCTGATTGTCTTAAATGCCCTGTCTGTAATTTAATTCTACAAGTTTATTTCTCACATTCTTTGTTCAGGAGCAGATCAGAAGCCTATATATGCATTCTGGAAAACAGTGGTCTCTCAAAGAGCATCTCTACAGTTCTACTGCTAGGGGATGGATTAATTCTCTTTTCTCACGCTTGTGTCGTACCCTTACTTTTTGATATCACATTTGTCCCTTGGACATTAAATCTAATCGTACACACTCACTATCTGACTTTGTACCTGGATATTTCTTATGGCAAAGTCAAGGTGTTTTTACCTCCTTCTGAATTGCTGTTCCCCTGTGATATTTGACTTGCTTCTTGATAGCTGCAGTAATGAGTCATATTGTTGTGACTCATTACTTTTCCATCTCTGTCAATTCTGTGCACTCAGTTTCATAATTTCTCAGTTTTTTTAAATCCAGAGACTAGTATAGAGAGGTCCAATAATAAGTATTCTATTCATACCCATAGGACTGTGTATTCAGTACTGTTGCCTTTACCTTCAAAATTGCTCTTTGTATTCCTTCTGTGGAAGTCTTCATCTGTAGTAGTAGTTCTGCATCTTACCAGCCTCATATTTAATTCTTTCTCCCTGGACACTTCTAACTGTTATAACATTGTGTTAGTAATGCAGCATGTACAATTTTTTGTGATGTTTGTGACACCAAGCCCTTTCTCTATTGTAAAACACTCTAGTTAACATGTTTGTGGGTTTAGTTTTCTTGATTATATATACAGGTAATTCTAGGTTTTATTCCCAATGAAGACCCTTTTCTTATTTGACTCTACTATTAGACACCCTATCCCTTCAAGATTTGTTTTGTTCTTGTTTTTGCCTCAGTTTAGGTCTGCTGTAATCCAATCCAATCCTGTATCAGTATATTACAGACATGGAAAACAGATGCATCTGTCCATGTTCTCAGTTTCTGTTGGCTTGCCCTTTTCTCTTAGTTCATGCACTCTATATCTTGGTTATTTCAAATGGTAGTTCTTGATTCCACTTTGTAAATGCTATCTCTTCTGCATCACTTTCCCTGCTTCAAAGCATTTTCAGTGTCTATTAAATGTTTACTCCTTCACTCTAGCTAAAACTTGGAGCTACCCCAAACACCCTTCATGCTGGGTCCTGGTTTAGCAGGAGTGGACTGTCATATTACAAAGGCAGAGAACCAGAAAGTGCCTTCTCCCATTTTATTGTCTCAAGTGGAAATGAAAATTCTACCAGTGTATTGCAATCAGGTTTGTCCCTCAACTTTTTACTCTCTTGTCTCTTCTGTTGTAAAGATTTGTTGTCCTCAAACCACACTTGGCTCTCCGTTAGATACTGAAAGAGGTGCAGCAAGTATACCTGGATACTCAGGTTCTGTTCTGGGGTTTATATTTATATACATTTATATTTAACTACCTCTGGGAAATGTGGTAGTGAAATTAGATGCATTTGATACTCAAAATGGATGTACACAAGAAGAACTAAGGGGCCAGTTTAAATGCAAAAGTAACAGGTTCTTATACGAGTTCAGCTTTAGTAAAGCCTCCCCCTGATGAAGGTGGCAAAGGACATCTCTGAAGAAAAAACTGCAGTAAGGAATGGAACAAGTCTTGCTGGAGATTCCCACTTTCTGTTCTTGGAAGCAGAACAGGGATGCAAAAACTGGAATGAAACCTATCCTGAGGGAAGGTGTTAGACAGAAATGAAACTGGGTTGTGGGTTATAGATTTGTAGAAAATTCTGGGTATTAGAAGTACCTCTAAAAATGCCCGTCTTCAGTGTGAATCAGTGAGTTTAGCAAGTCAGAATGTCCAGATGCATGGACATGCTACTGGTGTGATGGCATACTTATCTGTAAGGAGAGTAAGGGAGAGAGATGTGCTCCTTAGGGGTGCCCACTTCAAAGAGCCTGTGAGAGTCTCCTTTGGAAGAGCAGGAGTCAGTCTGTTCAATACACTCCCACATGGGACTGTTCAACTCTCTGAGATGTGTGACTGCTTGACACACTCAGCAAGGTGACAGAAAGAAAGGTAGTCAGGGAAATAACTTGCTCACAAGGTTCACTCATACCCAAGGCCTCAGCGGTGATGGTGTAGATCCAGCAGTGGTGACAAGCTGAGTCATTTTGGAAACAACCAGATCAGCTATAAGTTGTCTGTCCTCTTCTATGTGCTCCCCAATCAGGGGCATTGAGCTGTCCATCACCTGCCACAGGAGGCAAAAACAACAGTTAGTAAGGTGGTTTCCTGCTGGCAGATGCCTGTTTCAACTCACCTCTTACATTAACCTGTTTCATGTCTGCACATCCTTGTCAGTATCTACAGTCACCACTCTCCTCATGCTGAAACATGCTTGACTTTTCCAGGTGTGGGATTTTGCTTAGAGTTTTTTGGAAATGTGCTTCCCCCAGCTCTCCATCTTCCTTCCCTTCACAACTTGGGAGCCAAGCCAAGACTTATGGTGGCTGGAAGCTTTCTATATCAACTTAATACAAATTTTCTCCTTCACATGTCCCGAGGAGATGCCTCTGATGGATAAGGTCTGGCATTGTCTCACAGTACTTGGGGGTGACATTGCAATTTAAATGGCCACAGGAGAAGAGAAACAACATGTACTGAAGCCTGAGGAGATGAGAGCAGCAGGGACTGGAGGAAACCAGGAAACATTTGGGATTAATGAACACAAAGCACTGCACCCTGAGAGGGAAAATAAACACCACAGATGTGTAATGAATAGGATGTCACCAAACCAGCACCAAGTGGAGGAAAATAAACTTGGTCTCTGCTTGTCTTCTTGATAATGCTGTGATACAACTGCTGCCCAAGCAAGTTCTACAAATCTACTGGGGAAAACTGGGAAGCAAGACTGTGGGGATGGGGGAAGGAAAACTGTCAAAGGATCTTTGAGGTAAGAAATGGCCTCACAACAATAATACTGAAAGCACAGCAGACCCTCAGCTGTATAGCGGCCCTGAACATGATTTTCAACAGTTCATCATAAATCAAGTGTTTTGCAAACATTCACTAAATCCCACAGGAAGAACTGTACTCTGATGAAGTTAAGATTCAGCTGGAGTAAATATAATAGTACCAAAATATCAGGGTTGGAAGAGTTTGTTTTATTTTGCTTTTATTTTTAAAGCAAACATTAAAATCCCTGGAAATGCAAAGTTGAAGGTTGAATTGCTCAAGAAAGGCACTGACTCATGCTCAGATAACAATTGGAAATGCACTCCACCCTGGCAGGGCCACAAAAGTGCACTCTTGGAGGGAAATGGAAAATTTTGTACCCTCTTTTTTTAGATTTAAAGCAGAGGAAATCAGTGAGGTGAGTTCACTGAGTTTGTATTCTGCTCTTTTCATGCAGCATAATGGTTTTGTTTAATTTCTAGAATGTCTTCTATGAACACTAGAAAAGCTACCTAGAAAGGTTTAACTTTGGTTAAGGTACATATGGAAAGGGGGTTGATGTTTATATCCATGGCCTACTTGGCCCAGGGGGCAAGAGGAGAAGGTTAGAAAATTATATGTCAGCGTTTGGCTAAATACACAAGGTGGCTTTTCCTTCCACTATCCACTTAGCTGTTCTTCCATTGGGAAATGAGGTGAGGAACGTGATGCTTCCTAACAGTGTCAGGGGATGGCCAATTCCCATCTGGGTCTCACTAGCCAGGGGCTCCTGGGGGCCCTCCAGCAGGCCCCTGCGCAGGTTTCCCTTCTTTCCAGTCCTATCTTGAAAGGAAACGTGGCAATTACAGTTCCCGAGAGAGCAGCGGCGTCCCGCGTCCCCGCACGGCGTGGTGCGAGGGCCCGTGTGGCCGCTAGGTGATGCCGTGTGGCCGCTGGATGATGCCGTGTGGCCGCTGGATGATGCCGTGTGGCCGCTGGATGATGCCCGTACCCTGCCGAGCGCTCCCGGCTCCCCGGGAGCCACTGAGACACGGCTCTGCTCAAAACACCCCGAGCCCCGCTTGTCACAGGCGCATAGCATGGTTTGGGCTGGAAGAAAACTTTAAAGGCCGTCCAGTCCAACACCCCTGCTATGAGCTAAGACATGTTCAACTAGATCAGATTCCTCTCGAGCCCCATCCAGCCTGACCTTGAACGTCTCCACAGATGGGGCATCCACCACTATCTGCACAGTAAAATGTTCTTCCTTACATATAGTCTGAATGTACCCTCTTTTAGTTAAAAATCATTATCATCTGTCCTGTTGCAACAGATCCTGCTAAAAGGTTTGTCCTTTTCTTATGGGCCCCCTTTACATACTGGAAGGTGCTATGAGATCTGCCCTGATCCTTCTCTTCTCCAGGCTGAACAACCACAGCTGTTTTGGGAGCTGTCTTCATAGGAGAGATGCTCCATCACTTTAACATCTTAATGACCCTCCTCTGAATCTGCTCCAAAAGGTCCATTTTTTTCCCTGTGCTGAGAACCCCAGAGCTGATTTCCCTATCTCAAGGATTGCTTTTTCCTATTTATGTGGCTGCAGTGGCAGAAGAGGAAGATAGTGCTTTATAAACCAAAGGCTCCACGGGGAGCAAGCCCTGAAGCAAGTTCCACCTGAACCAGTGAAGACACACCAGGGATGAGGCTATCTGATGCCCTGATGTGTAGTATCTGGCAGGGGAATGTGAGATTTGGGAAACAGCAAATACAAGAGTGAACAATCACATGCACAAGGGAAGGCCTTTGAAAATGGCAGTGATTTCTGACATCAGCTAGTTGCCACTGAACTGAAAACAATCACGAGATGGCACCTTGCCTGTCCTCCAGGAAGGGTGAATTGGTCTGGAACTGGGCAGATACAAATGCTAATACTGAATAAATCAACTGGCTGAAAGGAATATGTGAATTACAGACAGACTGCACTCGTCCCTTCCTGGGCAATCACAGAACAGCTGGGCAAGGCAAGAAGATGTCAGCACATATGGACCCAGCCTTTGTAGCTGCCCAAGGTCAGAGGCTGCTCCTGGTGCAGCTGCTGCTGCCTGATAAGGTGAATGAGGGGTGAAGAAAAAGTGCCCTGGCAAAGAGACTCAGAAAAAGATCATCCTGTTTCTCCCCATGTGCCTGTATGATGCTGAAGCCTGAGATTGTGTTTTTACACTCTGATGTGCAAGAGTGGAGTGTTAGGTGATGGATGGATAGATGGATGGATGGAAGGAAGGAAGGAAGGAAGGAAGGAAGGAAGGAAGGAAGGAAGGAAGGAAGGAAGGAAGGAAGGAAGGAAAATGATGATTTAACATATTAAAAGAAATTATAGGCACTGCTGAAGGGATGAGCAGGGCTCCTTGCAGGGCAGCAAGGAGCATGTCTAGTAAAATAGCTTAGCAGTCAGGGCTTATCTTATTCTTCCAAGAGGAAGAATAAACCACATGGACCATTTTTCTTGCCCTCTGCTTGCTTCATATTTTTTATCTTAGCAGAGATGTAGAAATGGGCTAGATTACAAAAAAAGAAAAAGAAAGGAGAGGGAAGATTACTAAACCATACATGTTGCTGATAAAGTTAATTAAAGTGGAGCAAAAAAGAATTACCAGCATTAACTGCTAAATTCACAATCTATTTCAATATGAGCCATGAAAATGGTACATAAGTGTGTAGGCAGAAATGTAACAGATTCTGCTGTTTGTCATGGGAAACGAAAAGAAGGTGAAGTTCAAGTAAGAGCAAATACCATGTGTGCAAGATTACTCTTGTGCTGTTGATAACTCATCTGTCTTAATCTAATTTATTTTGCAACAAACCACTGTGATAAATCTCAGTTCATAGCACTGCCCATCACTACTTCTGTGAATCTTTCCTGAAGAACTACTTTGTGAAAATTAATTACTGCCTGCAACTGTATTGTGCAAATTCCTTGTTTGCTCAGCCCAATTAGGCATGCTTTCTTGTAAAGTGTCATAGCACACTGTTCCTTCTTACCAAGAAAATACAACCGTCACTCTGTCAAATAACTTTTTTCTCCCACTATCAAAAGAAAAAAGCAAAACAAAGAAGCAGTTTCAGACCAATAAAAGTACCCCAGGAAGTTGGCTGGAGGCAATTAATTACTTATCAACATCTCCCTCAGATCTGCATAAAAAGGTACCTGTTTGGCTTTGCTCTGCTCCTTATATTGCACTACTCTACTCCTTTCCCAACAACATCCATCAGCCTGGCGTCTGAATGCCTGCTAGGTATTGGTATATCACTCCTGCTCAATCAGGTTCTCCACTGTGATAATTCAGCATGACCCATCTGAAACTATATAGTGTTTCTTCTGATTTGTGCTGTATTGGGTGCTTTGCTGCTTACCTTGGTCACAGAGAGAGGAGCACAAGCGTGCATTTCTCTGTGTGTGAGCTGATGATGGCTGTTAGAGTACAGATGTGCTTTTCACCAGTCAGTCACACACAGTGGCAGATGTGAAAACCCAGAGGCATACCCAGACAGAGCCATATCATCTTTAAGCCCAGAACGAGCAGTGTGTGCACGTACGTAGGCTTATGTGCAGGAATATATGTAGGGATATGAAAACCACATATCACGTCTAACCATGTGTGGACACATTCCAAATGTCCTTACAGTTGTCTCTAGCAAGGCTGCTTTCTTGCTCTTTCTTTCCCAGCTGCAGGGACATAGAGATTTAAAAGTGCACAGCAGGGAAACAGTCTGCTCTAGGGGATGCTCCTCTAGGTGCTGATGGATTGCATACGGGAGCAGACCCATTAGCCCTGGCCCCATCAATTCAGGAAAAGACAGAGGCTTGCCAGCGTTTGGTTGCTGGCAGCGCGCTTCTGTCACATGGCCTTTGACAGGTCACTGCTCCCCTCCCTGGGGAGAGCAGATACATAATGCAGGAATGCACAGTCACTGGAGGGCTCATGTGGTTCTCATCAGCATCCCAGCCCTCAGCGGGTGGGACTGCTCTCCCACACATAGCTTTGCAGTGTGTCAGCACCCCTGCATGAAGCCAATAGCCTGGCTCTGCTCGTCCTCCTCAGCTGGCCTGTGTTGGTAGAGTTTACAGCAGGTCAGATGTTGTGTCTCCTCAAGTCACATACTGACAGAGGCACTTGCTTGCTTGCTGGATTGTCTCTCCTCCAGGGTATCTCTTCAGTTTACCACTTTGATTTTTCTGGCCAGCTTTTCCTTCTCTGCCCTGTTAGGATGATCTGAGTGTGCTATTTACCCCACCTCCATATCTGCCTCCTGGCCTCGGAAGGAGCACATTGAGCTTTAGCTCTCAGAGCCACAGTCTGTCCAGCCCTGAATACAAAAAGTTGTAGTGCACATTACTCAGAGTAACTTTGTGGTGCTTTGTCTTGATGGTCTCTTACTGTAGTGAATTCTGTCTACGCAAAAGATTTTAGAAAATACACCTTTCTTTTTTTGCTCTATCAAGATGTTCCTGTTGCTTGTGAACCTTTTGCTACACTCTCACCATTTATTTTCTTCTTTTAAATAAAGTGCAACTTGAATTTCTGTTTGGAAGTCCCCTTAAAAGTGATCAAAGAAAGGTTCATTCAGAGAGAAATTGAGATTTTTAATGAACTGAATCATCTGCTGAAAAGCTGAGGTGGCCAAGCACTCTGAGGCTCTCCATTTCGTTTCACTGTCCACACTGAGAAAGGAAGGCACTTCAACCCTGACACTTTGCTGTGTATCTGCTGGTTTGGCTGGGGCTCTGAATCAGTTCCTAACATATCAGTGGGCCATGGCCTGAGGATGCATGTGGGCACAGAGGAGCAGAGACTGCACAGCACGCAGGGTTGGTGCAGGTTGGTGCATGTGAACTCCAAGGCAGAGTGCTTGCAGATACACTTCCCAAAGGAGACTCACATTCAGGTTGCCCATGCTCTCACCTCAATGATATAGTCTTTTCCATCTTTGCTGTGGACAGCTTTGACAGCACAGATATCCAGACCTCCAAACATTTCTGCGCAGGCATCTGCCCAGAGTCGGTACCTGCAGAAACCACAAGGGCATGGCCTAGGATTAGCTGTCCTTGGGTAGTCCACCAAAACCAGCCACCCACCCTGTTGCCCACAGGAACACAAAGTGATTTGGGAGCCCTTATTACAAGCTGTCCTTCATGTGTTTTGCTGGGTCCTTGACTCCCTCTCTTGACTCCCACTTGCAGGGGATGGAGTAAAAAAAATAATCTTGCCTAAAGTTTCCCTTCATTTCAGATTGATTCAATCCTGCCCTCAAAGCCACCTTAATATGTTTCTTTCCCATTGGTATTTACATCAGATCTCCAGTTGGTTGTCATTCAGCCAAGCTATAAATATTTAGCTCATTTAATCTCCCAGTAGTGTTGGCCCCTCAGCGTTTGTATTGGCTTTGCCTGAAAGCCCTCCATTATGCAGGCAGCTTTCTCCTGATAAGATGTCCTGGACATTAGGACTGGAATAAGATCAGAAAATGAGTGTTGAATTTAGCAAGGAGTAGCCATCCCCTCTCTGATCTGTAATGCAGTAGCTCCTGCATTTTACAATTTACTTTCAATTTTATCCTTTTACAGTCTCCTGCTTCCTTCTATCCCTTGGGTGTTGTTCCTAGTCAGACAGTCTCATCACATGGACCAGGCACTATTTGTTGGAGGGAGACCTTCAGGCTGCAGCACTTTTCCCTATCCATCCCAGCATGGGGATGTGGCTGGTGGTCCCCTAGCTATCCTAGAGTCAGAGGAAGAGAAAGAATGACAAGAGGCATGTTATGGGGGGACCACATCCCCCCACTGTGCAAATGAGGAGGGAATGAGGCAGTTTGGTTTTATTTCCTGTGCAGCTGTGCCGTGGTCCTGGCCATTGAAATAAAAATAATAATCTCAGAACAGCAGACCTGTAAGCAGGAATATGACATGATGCAGAGAAGGGAGGGAAGGCCACAGTCTCATGAAAACACTGACATTTTGCAGACCCTACAGGGACTGGAGAAAGAGCTGTTCTGGCTAAAGAACAAATTTATGTCCTTGAAGCCAGCCAGAGTCCCCATATCTTGACAATATAATGATGAACTTGTGTGAACACAATGTCTCTGGGAAGAGGAAAAATTATGACTTATATGACTACCGGTGCTCTTTTATCCCTAATGAGGAGACCAAGTGTGTTCACCCTGGACCCTCAAGGAAGACAGTGTATGAGGAGGCATCAGTAGCATAAGGAGGAGGAGAATTATGGACTGCATGAGTCAGGTAGGAGGCACAGAGAGCACCTCTCATGCACAGCTGCGACCCAGCATCCAGGAGCACCATTGTGGAAACCACCTCTCTTCCTGAGGAACACCTCTTGGTGTCGGCACAGCAGCCCAGCAGGGAATTGTTGGTCACACCAGAGACTGTGATGGCTGCACATCTTCAATGTTTGTTGGCCATAGGTGAGCACTGGGAGCATCAGGGCTGCTGGGGTGTAATAGGAGTATTATAAGGAAGGAGATCATATTTATGCACGTGCACCAGGTGTTGCATTTTCAGAGGATTTACTGTCATTTCTGCATTACCTGAACATTTAAATTTTTTGTACTTATGTTCAGTACAGTAGGTACTTCAGGTTGCTCCTACTCATCAGAGCATTTGAGCACATTCTTACCTTGTTTAATGTACTGGCAACTCACAGATTTCAACGGGGTTTGTTGCATTTATGGCTGAATAAGACTGGACTGATTATTTGGGGTACAATTAACAAAACAAACCTTCAAAATGCAGTGTTGCAGGCTGGCAGGAATCTGGCTTTCAGTCCTACAACACTGCAATAAGGTAATGTCTACCCTTCACGTGTCTAGCTTCAGCTATGTTATAAAGAGCCAGGATGCATCATCATGTCCACTTCCCACAGTACTATTAGCATCCTGCAGAGTCACCTTCAGCATCTGATTTGGGGCTTGGCGTCCCTGTTTCACAGAACTAAAGGTTCAGAAAGGACCTTAGATGGCTGCCTGCACAACTCTTGTGCTCCCAAGAGGAGACATTTATATTATCTGGCCTGAAAGAGGACAGAGATTTGCTATCGCCTTCAGAGCATCAATTTCTGTGCTATGCTATCCTTACTTTAGGAAAATACAGGAAATGTTCAAAGGAACCTTTTAAGCTATAATTTATTTCTTACACTATTATACTTGTAATGAATGTAATGAGAAATGCCTATATCATATATTTAAAGACCCTATGCTCTTTCATTTTTTTCATCTTTAGAATGAAGAGGTGTTCAGCTTGTGGGCAACTTCTTCCAGGTCTGCAACATTTAATGAAGGAGAGTGAACATCTGCACTGCAGGCAGGATAGTCTACAACTCTACTGGAAAAATATCAGTGGTCTGCTAACTGAAAAAGGTAGAAAACTGCATAGAACTTGTTGCATGTTTTTATCAGCATTTCATTAGGTTTTCTCTGAATATTCTTTTTATTGTTCTTTGGACTTTCTCCAGCTCCTTGCTATTTCTCTTCAATTGTGGTGCCCAAAATGGACAGAGTCAGAACTAATCATGAACCTGACAAACAAGGTATAATCTCAAAAAATCTTAAATTCACTAAGGATGAATGCCTACATGTAATCTATGGATTTTATAAATCTATGAATGATCTACTTGGATGGGATGGAGAAAAGTGATGAGAACAAGTATTAGTTCTGCAGGATAGGAGTTACAGCAAAGCATGTTACCATGAGTCCACAGTGTCAGGCAGTTGCAGTATTAGCAAATATCACAGTGATTTGAATACATGGAAGTAGCATTTGCAAATTTTAGTCTGTAAGATGCATGAGGGAATTCTTTCTGCTCTGTTCAACAGTGAGAAGACCTTAACTTAGACAGTGACCACTTTTGTGAGCCTAAAGCAAAAAAGTGCTTTCAGCACTTCAGCTGACAGGTTTTTTCCTGTTGAGCAGAAGAAAAATTCTTTTTCTGCCTCTCGTTAGTAATATACTTAGAATAACCTCATGTTACTTTGTGTTTTGTGCTTTGACCTTTCTGATTTTATCCCTACATGTTTGTACTGGTGTGCTTGACCTAGCATGCTGGTCTTGTTTCCTGTGGTTGCATTCACTAAAGATCTAATGATTTAGCAATGTTGGTTTCTAGCTGTACTTTCAGTCTGTTCTTCAAATAGGACAGTTTGCCTTTGTGTTCTTAGTATTTTTTTAAGAAAACACTTGGTCTTTTAAAGTCTTTATCCAGCCTCCCAGGAGACCTTACTTACCAGTTCTCCCAATTGACCAAAGTCAGAAATACAATTCCTCCCTTCTAACCCAAGAATAGCTAATACTGTCTTGAAACTCTTCCTTACCTCTCTGTCATTGCAATCTGTTCTAGCATCGCAGAACCTGTGTTTGCCTTCCAGTTTCCAGAGATGGAAGTCCTCCTAGGAAAACAAACCAAAAGCATAACCTGAACATGAAAATAGAGTCCTGACCCATCCTCCTGCATACTGTAGTGCTCATTCTTGACTCTGTGCTTGTACAGGAGAGGATGAGGTGAGGTTCTTCCTCCCAGAAGCCTTTCCAAATCCTTCCTGAACAACACTCCATACAGGATATGTTGTTCAGACTAATGAAAAACTGACTGAGGATTTTAGGCAGAGAAACCTCCAAGGAATCTTGAGCACACATCAGGCTCTGTGAGTACTTTCTTTCTTTATACATTAGACCTAGCAGAGCTGAAATGTGTGTGAAAGATCTCTAGGTTAATCACCCTTATGTTCTGCAATGGGTAGCATCCTCCATCCATGGACTAGAAGGTCTCCAGGCAAATATTTACTGAGCAGCTTCACAAAGTATCAGTTCTGACATTCTGGGTCTATCTAAATTTGATTTCAATTGTACTTCTGTGTCCGCTTCAATTTGATTTCAGTGGTACTGATGTCATAGAATATATTATCATACTGTCTTATCACTGACTTTTCATTGACTTTTCATAATTTTCATTAGCTGCAGCTGATAGTTATTTTCCAAAAAAGGTACTGTTGCTAGAAAATTCTGGGTTTCACCATCACTGTCAGGGGTGAAAATTTTCCTTTTCTTGACCTCAGGCCCAAGGCAGACATTGGACAGCCTGCTCTGACAACACTCCAGATAACCCTTCCATAGTGCACAAGCCAGGACAAGTCAACAAGCTGACAGGATACATCCAGGAAGCCTCTCCACACTGAAAGAGATTTATGAGAGGAGTATGAGGTGTGATCCAACACTTCAATATGAGGTTGTGGGAGCCCTTGCTGCCAGTTCTCTCACATTTTCAGCAACATGTACAAAAGACACTGAATTTGCAAAACTACATTCAGCAGTGGTAATACTGATGTCCTGCTAGACTAAAACTTGAATCGTTATAGCTGACTACCTAATGCTCCTCTTTACTCTTGTGAGACACCCTAGAGTGCTTTTCTCCTCTAAACTGGCATGTTTAGTGGCTGTGAAATTGAAATTGTCTTTGTGGCCATGTTTAATGGACTGAATTGGGGGGCTGAAGGAGCATGATTACTGTGTTGAATAACTGTGTTTTCATATAGTTGACTTTTGGGCCTGTTGCCTTCAACCAGCATCCATTCTGCTGCCCTACTTCCTAAGCAACAGATTGGATTCCTCCTCAAGCTTGGACTGTCATTAGCCCTTTGATGAACTGTAAGGTCAGTGCTCAGTCCTCAGCCTTTCTTTCTCTTTTAATATGGGATTTTTAGGATTATGTTTTTCAGTTCTGCAATGAGAAGAACCACTCTTTGCTAACATTTATTTTTAACAGAAAATTGCCCTGCAGTGGCAGAGGCCATCCAAAATCCCATTAGTACTGGTGGGTACTCCTGGAGTCTCATTAGTGACAAGATGATTTGACACTGGTGTTTAGAAAATGTACCTGGCATACCAAATGCAAGCAGCTGTGTTGTCCCTGGGAAAATTAAACCACAGTTTGACAGTTTTACAAGGTAATTTGACATGGGAAAGCTCCCAAAATAAGAACTCTGCTCAAGCCATTGGACTGATTTGTTGGACTTATTTATGCCTATCCAGTGTGAGCCAGTTTTCAGCATAAGATTTAAAATATATCTCCCTGCTGTATTCCTAACTTTCCTGTTAGGTAACCTTGCTGTTTTGAAACTGAAGAGTTTTATTGGAAGCCCACTGGATCAGACACCAAACCCTACACCACAGCCTTTGTCAAGATCATTCTCTTCCAAGCAAGTCTGAGCAGTTCAGGAGTCAGCTGTGCCCCCAGACTTAAAGAATCACAGAATCACTGCATATTCTCAGTTGGAAGGGAACTCAAAAGGATCATTGAGCCCACCTCCTGGCCCTGCACAGCACCATCCCCAAGAGTCATATCATGTGCCTCAGAGCATTGACCAAATGCTTATTGAACTCTGTCAGGTTTCGTGCTGTGACTGCTTCTCTGGGAAGCTGTTCCGGTGCCCAACCACCCCCTGGTGAAAAACCTTTTCCTAATGTCCAACCTAGACCTCGCCTGACACAACTTTAGGCCATTCCCTTGGGTCCTGTCACTGGTCACCAGGGAGGAGAGATCAGTGCCTGCCCCTCCTCTTTCCCTCATGAGGAACTTGTAGACCAGGATGAGGCCTCCCCTCTGTCTCCTGTTCTTCAAGTGACCAAGTGACCCCAACTGTTCATCATACAGCTTCTTTTCAATTTTCTTTTTTGTATTGTATGAAGTGAAAAAGGAGACTTAAGACAAAAAAATTTTCCTAAGGATATCCTGCCTCAAACCCCATTTCTCTTAGGGATTGAAAGGCTTCCAACAATCCTAAACATCAGGGGCCACACAGTGTACAGTCAGTATCTTAAAGAGAAGGACCCCAGACTCCTAGAGATCAGTTGCTCAAACAGATTTGTGACCACAACACCTTCAGCATTGTTTAGGAGAAGTGGATAAATGAGCAGATCAAGAGCTCTTGGTGTCCTATCTCAGTCTATAAGTAGCTCTAGTTTAGACACAGGTGATGTGCACATTGAACTGCTTTGGAGGTGACAAGTCAAAAATCTCAGTCATGAAACTACAAAGGAAGGGTATTACCCTTTTACTAAGAGCTGGTGGCAAGAATAGCCCATGTCTGAAAGTCAATAGCTGCCGGCTTAATTCAAAGTGAAGAACATTTAATGTGTCTAAACTGGAAACGATCCTGCTGTTTGCCTCCAGTTGGGGTGAGTATGGAAGCATAACTTCTGTCCCAATTTCCCCTGTAACATGAACTGTTTTCATGTTTTCTCTTTACCAGTATTACAATGGCAGTCAAATACACTTGGTGTAATTTTAGGCATGTATCATATGCTGCTTATCTGCTGTTTTCAGACTGGCTCAAGGCATGGACAAAGTAGGAGTTTGTTGGCAGTGTAAATCTGGAGTCACTGCACTGAAGCCAATGGGAAACCAAACTGAAGCCTTGGGCCATAGGCTGGAAGGAAGTGCATTGAACATCTGGGGCAGGGAGGAATGCATGACTCACTCTGCAGCATCCTCCCTCTGCCAGATGCTTGGTGCAAAGTAAACATATTCTGGAGAATTTCAGTGCAGTCTTTTCTCAATAGAAAAGGGGTTTTTAAAGTCTATATGTGTGGGTGAAGGTATAAAATTACTGAATACATTCCATGGCTCACAGATCAAAGCAAGTCACTTTGTATGACGCTACTGCAGATGCTGGAATTGCCTTTAAGGCTGAGATTTGCTAGCATGACTAATGGTTTTGAGTCTCCTATTTGGGACACCAGTGAGAGCTCTGATATTTTGGGTGCTTTTACCTCTGTCCTTGGACATAGTAGGGACTTATACCATAGAAAAAACCTATTTTGTCTAATGCTGGGGTGGAAGGAACAGTCCCTGGTGGGACTGACTATACTACTCTCCCAAGCTCTCATCCATAAATGGCTCTCTCAATCTAACTCAACCTCCTGGGTTAGCAAGTCACAGGGTGAATCTTGCTGTTTGCTTTCTTTGCTAATGAGCTTTATTTTTCATTAAGGTGCTCTCTGTTCATGTGAGTTTTCACATTAAAACATTTTTTCTTTAGCAAACAATTGTCTGTGCAGCTATACTCCCAAGTGGGATTAGGTCTTAGTGTGACTCCTTTCTTTCCTCAATCATCTGGTGTTATTTCTGATCCCTGTTCTGGATGAGTGCATGGTGAGTGTGAATAATAAGTGAGAAGAGAGTATGGTCAGGATAACTTGGCCTTTGTTTCAGTTAGAGGTAGTTGGGGAGCAGGCTCTGGAGCCAAGGCTAGGTGTGTTGGCAGGAACAGGGAATTTTAATTGATATTTTAAACCTTTTTTCCTTTGGCCAATTTGAGTCAGACTCTCTGAGATGTTAATGTAGTATTAGGCAACTGTGCTATTGTTGATCTGATTCAATTACAAATAAATTTTCTTTCATTGAGATCACATGAAGTAGGCAAGTGTCCCCCATGTCCTTCCTTCCCATGAAGAATGTAACTCAGTCATTATCTAGTTTTCTTAAACATCTCTGTGCTAGGAATCCAACTGGGAATTTTAGGCAGGTATAGCTGAAAAATATATGATTGTGTACATTTGATTATCTTGTTTAACTACGCTTTAGCAGAACTATGGCCTAGAGGTTTGCAGACATGGACCCAAAAGTCACAGTGTTGTGGGCGTTAGGTAACATATGCAATTTATCTGGCGATCTGAAGAATGTACTGCTGGAGCTGACTACTTGTCCAGAATTCTGTGATTGGATAAGGAGCCTCTGGAGAAGCTGTGCTGTGTGGCTTTTTTCATTTACTGGTTTGTAGTAAGAAGAAACAGGTGTCTTACTGACTCATGTTGTTACATCTCTAATTGAGCATGGTGACCACTGAAGTTTGGCTGAATGCTTTTTAAGACTTTCAAACATACCGGCATTGAAGATTGCTGTCATGCCACCTCCCTCACTGCACCACAGGGCAGGGAAGAGCTTTGGGGCACCCACAGAAATGTTTCACCTCCTATCCCTCCTTTGTATGCATCAAGGAACACACAAGCAAAATGCCCACAGAAACTCTGTGTGCTGCCCTAGCTGAGGCCGTTCATACCTGGTGTTCTGTGCCCCTCGTGTGATGTAGTGCTGTGATTTGCAGCTGGGGAGAGTATAGGGTGCTGCTGTGGGCTGAAAGATGGGGTGCTGCTATGGCCTGGACACTCCAGGAGTTGCAGCTAGTTCATTCTTCTTTATTTTTTTCTCCAGGTGGAAAGTGGGTGGGTTCAGCTCCCACTAGAGGGTACTTGGAGCTGGAGGACTTTGCTGGAAAAGATGAACCCTTCAATAACAGGATGGAGAGGTGATGGCCGAGCATAGTCATTATAGTGGGAATTAAGTGAATCTCAGAAAGAGACAGACAGAAACAATGACCTGACAGTGACTAATAGAGAAGATGATTGGGATCTGGGTTCAGAGGTGGGAGAAGAACAGCAGGGTTATTCTTCAAGGAAATGAAGTCAGCTACCCACTCCTGCCCAGAGCAGACACCGACTCAATCACATCCATAGCACTCTCGCCCCCCCGTCTCGCTCTGGCATAGCCATGCACTCACATGTAAGCCTTGTAGTTGCTGCCAATTTTCTGGATTCGGATGTCGTATTTGGAGTCAATGAATGGCTCGGTGGTGGCATAGGTTTTTGCCATGGCCACTATGCTGGCCATGTCCCGGAAGTCGTGCTGGTTCTCAACTTTGACCTTCATTATCAAAATCCAGTGAAAAAGAGACAAGAGCAAAAAGAACATGAATACTTGATGAGCAGAAGTCACCTTTGCACCTGAATAGCACAATATTTATTATGAATAGCACAGTTTAACCCCCCCACAGACACAGCTGAGGACAGAGCAAGGCTTCTGTGATTCAAAGAGAGAAGCTTCCCAGAGCAAACCAACCCAGACCAAATCCACCCCATTCTCCTTCCTCATGCACCAGCCCTGGTCATCCTGGCACCAGAGAGGCAGCTAGACCTTTTGCCCAAGTGGCTCTTGCTAATGCTCTTTGCTTTTAGGATGCTTCAGAAAAATATTCAATCTCTTAAGAGCTATTACTTCATTCAGACTTTGCAACTGCTGTTTCCCATGTTGGGATGGATGAAAATAGAGTATTTTGGGCGGTCAGGAAATACAAACCAATTCCAGGAAATCAACATGAGAGCTGGTTGTCTGTCACCTCTAGCCTTCAGTTCCCTGGCTTTTCACATTAACCCACTCCAGACTTTTTTTGAGAAGTGTAGGTCTCTTGACTGAACATAAACTCTGAAGGAAAAGGATGTCACTGGGTGAGTTTTTGACTCTTGGCGAGACTTGTGTGAGCGTGACGCAATGGGCATGTGGGTGGGACAGCTGGTTGGGTGTTAGACTTGAGTCTCACTTGGAAACAAATGAGCAGTTGAGACCTATGAGCCACAGTTTTTCTGAGAAGATGGCTTTTCACAGATCTGTATTCAGTTATGGGAAAACCTCTGTATCTTAATTTAAAAAAAAGTGAAATGAGGAATGACCAAAACAGTAGAAGTTCTAGTGATATACTCAAACCTCTACAAAAGCTTGGGAAAGCAAAACTGAACAAGCAGGTAACAAGAACATAGTGGACAACTTCACTCATATCTTTAGCCATGGCCTTTAGTGTACTGGCAAACACTTGTTTGGTGCATCACAGAAACCTGTACAAGTCTTGTTCCTTAGGGCTGGACGTTTGCAGGAAGGGTGGATTAATTTGTGGAAAAAAGACCATGACTGTATGAAAAGGATGAGCAAGTGAGTGACTTTCTTTATGTTATTACCCTCACTTTGTCTTTTGGAGATGCTTTAAGACCACAGCTGGGGATTGCAGCCCTGCTTTGCTAAGCATGCATTGACGGGTGACAATACAAGGGTGTCTTCTCCAGAAGAGTTTTCCAGCTGCATCACTCTGTGTTAAAGGAGGGTGATGCCAGACTCTGTGGAGCCAGCTGAAGGAAGCACATGCAATGGTATTTGGTGTTTCCTTGCAAAGAACAAACAAGTGGTTTTATGTATCTGCTTTCAACCATGGGAGGCTGGGCGCCATCTTCACTCAGGAACAGAGAACAAGCTTGTTGCTAACCTGCTTTACTCTGTTTATATTGTTTTGTGTAAGTGCCAGCTTACACATAGAGCACATACAAAGATTTAGCCATATCCTGTTGCAGAACAGCTTTCAAAAATGGAACAGTTGTGGGAAAGGTGAAAAATGCAACCAGTTTGACCGATGACCATTTCTAGATGCCTGAATTTGCTTCTCCTATTACTGACCAGCAAATACCCCTAGTCCTTCTCCCTTTGTGCTGTGGTGAGGGCTGTGCTCTCACCATCCAGGAACTGCTGAGGAAAGGAGCAGAGGGTGATGACAGTCATCTGTGGGAAGGGAGGGTACCAAAAAAAAAAAAAAAAGGGAAATAACAAATATAAAGGAGATATGTAAAGGCAACCATTGCACGGCATCCAGGAGGAGCAGCCTTGCTCTAGGCTGTGTTGTTTCCCTTTCTGTCTGAGTGGGGCTGTGCGGGGCAGGGTGAGGTGGTAGGAATGCCCTGGAGGCAGCGGGGAGAATGGGAGAGGGAACCCAGAGCCCGGACTTGCAAAATACCAGGGAAAACAATGCAGGCTGTGTTGGAGCTGGGTATTTTTGTTGCACTGATAAGAGCTGCCCTGGGCTGAATGACATCAAGCAAGAGAGTCCCACCCAGATGAGATGATCACAGGAGGGACTGCAAGGGCAGGCGACACTGACACGGTGTTAAAACATATTCTCCCGCACCCTTTTGGGAGTGAGAAAATACAAAAGCCATTATATAATGACCTACTTGGAACAAGGACGTTTGTAGGATTTGAAACAAAGTGCTGTGCTTGTGCAACAGATGTCTTTGGGCCCAAACTGAAATATTTGCATCCTCACCCCAGGATCATTTGACCCAGAGCAGAGGAAAAGATGCAGCTCCCCTGAGGACTTTTGGCTGGGTTAATAAAGAGGGGGGCTCACCAAGGACACAAAGCAAGAAATGAAAAATAAAGATGACTCCCACAGTGCTACACCACTGCACAGTCCTCAGGAAACAGCTCTGGCATCTTCCCCGGCCTCTGCCAGAGTACTTCCCATGGACTTTTCAGAAAAAGCAACTCACAGAAGTCCCCTTGTAGGGGATCACAGCCTTATTTCCCACCAGGCATCAAAATAATCACCACACCAAAGCTGAAATCTGAGCCACCATTTGTTAATTGTTAGAGCCAGCCAAATTTGACAGAACAACAGCCGTGTTCTGGGTTAATGCTGGTTTATCCCAGGGTACGGTTATTACTTCATAAACAGGAAGCACTCAAGTTACAGTCAAATTAGATTTTTTTTTCCTGCCTTATCTATTGAGTCCCCCATTTTATTAGCTTTCTACTTTTAAATTTTGTATAATTCATTTCCTCCTGCCTTGTAACCCTTTTAGATGTCAATAAGATATCTATTTTCCTAACAGAAGAAAAAATCCCAGACATAATCAAAGCCAGGATGGCTATAGTGTGACACCAGAGGGCATTATTTAAGAAGGTACTATTAAAAATCAATCTAGTGCAAAGTTACCAATTTACCTAACAAGAGACAAATCTGTCTCCTAAAACGGGCAAGTTGGCCAATCCATGAAACTGATAAAAGGAGGTGAAAAGAAACCAACAGGAAGCCATTCCCCCCCCCTTTTATTTTGCAATCTTCTTAGGATAAATGCTGTATCCCATTAAGTGCATAGAGGAGTGCAAACAGTGAATACAAACACAGCCCCTGCCCTGGCAGCCTGTTTGCTTAGCTGTGCTGGCTGTTTGAGCAGCAATAGACTCATTCTGAAGCCATAAGGTGCTGTTTGCTGTAGCATTTTAGTGACCTATTAAGAAGGGTTTGGGTCAGTGTGTTGACAAATGCCGTTTCTGAGTAAGAAAGCTCCTCCTTCCCTTCTGGCTCTCTTCTCTAACCCAGGCACCAGTGATGCCCTAGCATGCTCCCCGTTGGAAAGGGGAATCTGGCTGGTTTGCTGGGGACGTGCTCACACAGGTGTGACCATCCCTTTGCCCTGTGGTGGCATCTCAGAGCCTGATGCCACCACATGACCTGCATCTGGCACCTGTTGCCATCCTCAGCCTGCCCAAGAAGCACTGATCTTTCTGCCTTTGGCTGGAGAGCAGTCCAAGCAGCAGGTCATGAAGAAACACTCTGCTCCATCCCTGTTGCAGACCTTGTTTTGTGATCTTTCTTGCAAGGAGGGATTTTGGATCGGTTCTGGCAGAGTTAAAACCCCACTGCGGCAGTTTCCTGGGCAGTCTGAGCCACACCTCAGATCTGTGAGCACAGGTTCCTTTAGTGAAGGATCTGTCTGGGTAGAAACTTCTGCTTCCGCTGTCTTACAGGTCCCTAATCTGCTGCTTCTTCTACATCCCAGATGTTCCTGGACACCAGGGTCCCAGGGCTACAGCTCTCCTCCCTTATCCTTAGTCTAAGCACTGCAAGGTCTGGCTTTGCAGTCCTCTTTTGCTTTCATTATGTGGCCACATGAAAAATTAATCGCTTAGCTAAAGTGCCATAATTATTTTAGTCCGCTAGGACTGCTCTACCCTTGCCTTGAGTGTCATCCAGTGTGAACTCTGCTTTTGAGGTTAACTCTGCCCTACAGGCTAAACACACATCGCTTTGGAGATAACTTGCAGAAGCACTTTCTGTGTTTAAAATGAGGTTAGATCCAGGTTCAGCTGGAAGGTGAGTGTCCAAGGCTGAGCCAGGGCTGGACTTGGCAATGTGGTGTTTAACTGAATCTTGGTAGGCTTGAAATGAAAATGCACGGTCTGAGTGTTTTCCTCCAGAGGAACTGGTGCAGCCACACAAAGCTTGTGATTTTTCATCCATCTCGACCTGCTCTCAGCCTTTCTGTAGGGACCCTACCATCTTGGGACAGTGGGTCTTCAGGAACAGTTCTGTGCAGATGGAATCTCTCCTTTCCTCTACCCCAAATTATGCTCTTCTTCTCAGAAGATACCCAATCCAACTGACACACAATCAATTTAGGCCTAACTTTGGCCTACCCCAAAACAGTGAAGTCACAATGGGGTCTGCATTTCTTTATTATCCTCACACTAAAGTTCCCCATCTGCTGCCTTTAATGCTTTCAACCTTCCTAGTACAGAGCCCAGGTCTTGGCTGCTGTGGTCCTTGGTGCCTTGGGTCAGTCACTGTTTCCTGTGTTCAGCAAAAGCTTCCAGACTGATGTGCAAGAAATGGGGATGTTTTTGCTATTTTCAAGACATTTGGAACATCCTCACACATGAGTCAGTGGGAATGCAGTGATTGGGCTGCTCTGTTTTGAATGAATGTTACATGTCAAGTCATTATTTGTCTTCTCCAAAGGAAAATATTTGTTCCTTGACGAACTGAGGCAGCCCTTTCCCTTCCTTTCCCCTTTAGCACACTGGATTTTCAAAGCTCTCACTTTTGGAACATTCTATTTCCAGTCCCGAGAGAGACAAGGTGACGAGCTGTCCTTCCTGATAAAAACCTTGCAGTATTTTTACATTACAGAGTGGCTCTGTTTAGTTTGTGTTATATTTACACCAGGGGAAAAAAAGAAGCAGAGAAGTCTTTCCCATCCAGTAAGAGAGAAAATAACTCTGAACATATTATTACGAACAACAAGTTTTTCTTCTACAATGTCATCAATTCATCCGAGCCAAGATTTGTACTGGGAAGGTGTTTACATAATTATGGGGCAGGAAGGGACAGGAGTGACTCTTAAACTGATCTAATTAGAGAGGTCTAAAAATAAAGTAGGAGTAGCAAAATATACATATATATAAAATTGATATAAATATATGTAAAGTCACATGAACAGATACTGGTTTTCCTCTCTTTGTAGATCTGGCAGTTGTTTCCTTCTCATGATCTGATCAGGAAGAGGTGAAGAGGCTCTTTGAGTGAATTTGCAGTACTGGGCTCTGTTCCTAGGGCACTTTAGGGTCATGTTAGCACACAAATGGCAAATACTAGCACACTCAGAGCTTTATTCTTTTCCATGGGCTCTGGCATGAGATCCGGAGTCAGGAAGAAGTGTTACTCCTTTCTCACTGCAGTGCTGTCCTTATTCAACAGAGACCCCCAATCTCTTCTGGGGTAGGTAGGCTTAAACTGCACAATGCTTAAAAATGCCTTCACCTCTAAGGAGCTGCTGGGTAAACAGCAGTTCTGTTCTGCACATGGAAAGACATCTCTCAGTGTCCATGCATGGTTTTCCTGGAAGATTCCTTGGGTACTGTTGATCCTGTGAGTTTGGGCAACTTGAGTACAATATGAGAAAGGTCCTTCTCTGCTGACTCCATTGTAAACAGTTGTCTAAGCAGTATTTCTACAAATATTTTATTTGTACCGATACTGCACAGGGCCAGCAGCCCAGAGAGCACTTGTTATGATTTTCCAGAGCCATGGAAATATGAACTGACTCCAAATTTTGGAAGGAGGATAATGATGGTCATGGGAGGGACTGAAGGGCATGTGTTCTGTTTTTTAGATTAGAAGATTGTCTGTTCCTGGGTGAAGGCTATTACTGGTGTCTCTGTTCAAGTCAATAGAGAAGCTGTTGTTTCTGCATTTCTCAATGGAATTTTCAAAAGATGCCTGTTATTGCAAATGTGTTTTCTCCATCTCCATGTGTACCTCACATGCACACATCACTTGGCAAGAGCATTTCTTTCACAAATGGTGTACTGCTACCCCTTTTGGTTCTGATCCTGAATAGTGGCTGCTCCTCTCCCAAGCTAAAGACAGTTGTGGTCACCTACCCTTAAGGGGAAGGGAGTCAATAGAGCCTATTTTGTACAAGCCCTACTGTGGTTATTTTTCATTTTAGCTTTGAGGATTCTTTGTTCAGCCCTCTAATTAAAAAATGTGAATTTGGTGAAAATTGTGTCAAAACAAACAATATGTGAAAATGAAAGTTATAATTATGCTCCTTCTAGCAATTATTGCAAAATAATAAACATTCAGCACTTACACTGCCAAGAAGGTTATGAAAATGAATTAGCAACAGGTATTAGGTAATCATTATAATTCCTCTAGTCTGTAACACAGAGAAACTGAAGAAAACTGTGAAATGATACAAATCTCCCTGAAAGCAGATGGTGGAACTCTTTGGGGAAGAGGCATTTTCTGCATCCAGAATTCTTCTGGCTCCTGGCCACTGCCTCAGACAAATAAAGAATAACAGTGCCTGGACTTCCCATCTTTGCTCATTCTTCTATGTGTTGGTGCCTCCCATTACACATAATTTTATCGTTAATAACACAAATAAAAGGTAACTACTTCCTTGACAATTTCTGTTGCAATAACACTGAATGCTGACATCCTTTGAAGCACCAATTACAGGTACATGTACATGGCTCGCTATCTTGGCATCATTTGTTGCAGTGAGTACTATTTTAATACTCACATGTGTACTTTGGCTAATATATTGGTAATTCTCTCTTTTGTTTTTCCAATCGCTGGTTTAATACAAAACATGACCTGATGCAGGTGCTTTATTAACATTTACTTTGTTGCATACATCAAACCAAAAGCAAACCTATCTCTTTTCATGTTATGTATATTTTATAGCTAAAGACCTGCTATTTCCTGCTATCATCTCTAATTCTGAAAACCAGTGCAAGGAAATAATTTAGGTCTCTCTAATCTCACTGGTTATTGCTTTTGCATTATGATGGTTAAAAACAACATAATCTCTCCTGAGAACTTTCCTCTTCTGCATTACTTTATTGTAGGTTTGATTTTTTAGGTGTTACTTTCCTAGTATACCCATAATTGTGCTTCTCTGTATTTCTCCTGGTATTTTCTGCAGTTTCTTTTGTCAGTCCTGCTTGAGCTTGAACCTTACTGTTTCAAAAAAAGCATGAAACAAATTCTTGCTACTTGCGTTTTAAACCAACTGATTTATTCTTTATTTTATTTTTTTTTATTTTATTTTATTTTATTTTATTTTATTTTATTTTATTTTATTTTATTTTATTTTACCTTTCTCTCTTTTTTTGCTCTGCAATGAAATGGAGTGAGACTGAACTGAGAAAATTTAATCAGTCTCAACTTTCCTTCAGGCTGCTTGTGGCTGGAGAAGGGCCCAAACTAAAACCATAAGGTCAACAACCCTTGCTTCCTGTACCTTCCCCATCTACTGAACAGAGCAGTGTGGAAACTCAGTGCCCAAATGCACATCCAGACTTTGCTAGTAGTCCCTCATTTCATAATGGACTAAAGTAAACTTGGCTTCAGACCAATTCTTTCTTCTAAGATGCTGGCTGTTAGCCTATCTGTATCTGGAATGACTTCCTACATACCCTCCTTGTACCTCTGAGTACAATTGTACCAGGAGTCTGAATAGAAACTCTCTTCCTCCTTAACTTGTGACAGCGAAAATCAATATAATTAAAGAATAAAAAGGGAGGGAAATTATGAGATGGAAGAAGATCTGGTGTGTGCTGCAGAAGACAATAGCTAACTGTTCTGCTGAGAGTTTTGTCTGGAAATACTGTTGAGATCGGAGTACTTGTCTCTGATTCTGCCCTCATTTCTGTAGCCACCAAGGAGCCTTGGTGCATAAGACACATGAAGCCCTGCATTACAGGTGAAATGGCAGAGCAGTCAGAGACATGCAGGCTTGCAAGGTCTCAGGGGAGAGGTTTTCCTCCTGGTTTGTCCTTGTTGGTTTTTGTTAATTGAACCCTTCCTAGGGACAAGTTAGTGGCTCCCTACAAGCACCCCTAGGCTGTCTGCACACACTCTAATTCAATGACACCTCTGCCTGCTTATCATAGGCAGTATCAATATATTAACCAACATTTCCTGCTTATTTACATGTTTGTTCCTTGATGCTGAAAGCCAACTCCACTGCTGGCACAGGGATCTGTGCCCACTTCCTCCCCAGCAGCTACCATCCAGACAGCGGAACATTGCAAGCAGAGCAAGAAAGATTATTAGATCCTCCATGTGCAATCCAGCAAGCCAGAAAGGGCTTCTGTTTCCAGAGCACAACAAACAAACTGTACCAAGTTTAAATTTGGTGTAACTATATATATTTTTCAGGCAAAGCATGAGGCCAGGAGAAGGTCTGTCTGCTCTAGGGAGGCACTGCGACAGGCGTATCAGTTACGAAGTTCGTGTACCACTCATTTGGATTCAGAGATGATACCTCAATTTTGTACTTCTGAACAAACCAAGTTTTAGACAGATAGGGGATGCCTTTTGAAAAGATATATGCAAGAAAGAGGAGACTCAAGTGCAGTAGGAATGTGCGGGTGATGCCTCACTGAAAGGGGAGCCCAGTCACCCCAAAAAACAGGGGCTGCTAATTCACTGGGGAATAAAGATCCAAGAGAGCCTGGGAAAAACAAACAGGTCCTTCTGGGTAGTGAACTGTTTTTCAGGATTCCTTGGCAGACAACCAGCCACTCTGCTTTGTAAGGTCTTGTTCTTCCTTGCAAGGAGGAAAAAAATAACTGAAGGGCTCCCATTTTTTGAATAAGGTCATCATAATGCACTCAAGAAGCCCAGTGCCACAGCTCCTCATTGTGAGTGCTATGGGGTGTAGCTGCACTTTACAGGTGCTTGAATAAACAGCACTACCACTTTCAGGAGAAGAGAAAATGTATAAAAGACAAGCCTAATGACTTCAGCCCAGGCAGCTTTTCCCCCACACTTCACCAACCCCCCTTCCCTCATCCCAGATAGTCTCCAACCCAATCCCACTGCCTGTCTCCAAGTGCGTGACAGCAGAAAAAGGCCTTTTCTCCCACAGGAACAGCCAGTGCAACCCAGATAGGTTGTGGGGAGCTTTAACCCTTTGGCTGGCTGGTCACATGCCATGTGTAATCACAGGAATGCTGAGCCACATATGTATCTGTTTCCATATATATATATATATATATACATATGTATATATATATTTTTTTTTTTACTTACCTTCCCCATTCCAGCATGAGCATGTCCCAGCTTGACCACTACAGGAAAATTTGGAGTTGTGAGCTGAAAGACAAAAGGACCCTTTCATTAGATCTTTTTTTTCCCCCCCAGCTACTGTATTTGGAATAATTTTCTTTTATTTAGTAGCTTTTACCCCCTTCCTGGATGCTGTAAACTGCATAATAAGAAGGCCAAATAAAGTTTACCTGGATGATAGGGCAGTGAGCAAATAGCGCTTTACTTGATCCCATATGATTGAAAATGGAAGCCTGGCAGAATTCCTCAGATCTGACCCACTTCTGCTGTGTGATAGCAGCTTTCCCACTCTGTACATAAGCATTTGTGTACACCCATAAGCATGTAAAACACTGTTGCACTTGCAAGCCTGAGCAAGTGAACACTTTCAGATGCTGAAAACAGCTGAATGGTGAGAAAGACAAGGGTTATTTGCTCTTCTCCACACTGACTGCTTTGGCCTTAATAGTGAGTGCACTCCTCCCATCACAGGGAGGGTGGGGGGACAAGGAGAGAAGGAAGTGGGGCCAACACTTAGGAGCAACTCACAGAGTCCATCTATTCATAAAGCCTGTTCTTCTCTACCTTCAGGGGTGGGTATAGTGAATAAAAGAAAACAAAGGATTGGAATCAGCAATAAAAATAGAAAAAGTTATATGTTCTCCCTGGCTTGTGTGGTGTTTCCATTGGGAAGGGTCCTGCCACCCAAGGCATACAAGTTCCTCTTAGAGCATACATGGGATTGATTTTACTTGAAGAACTGCAATTGCCCTCTCTGCCTCTTTTTCTCCAGTTTCAAGCTTGTGCAAGGATTCACTTGGAGTGATGGGCTCAGAGCTGGGCAGCTGTACTGCTAGGAAGTGCACATGTCAGGATTAAGTAGGATATATGCACCACATTTCCCCTACGTACTGGTTGGTCCAATTCTACACCTCTGCTTGGCATCCCTGTGTCCTTCATCTTGTCCTGTGCTTATGATTCTTGTGATCTTATGATCTTGTTCAGTATATGGCTGGTTAATTTTTATTGCATATTTAATTTACTTTAAAGGCACTCTTATATTTGCTTAAGTGCCCGAAGTGATGAGCTCTATTCATTAAGCAGTTAATCTGGAGATCTGGCAAAGGGAGGCAGTTGAATTTTGATGGATAAACGGGTCTCCTATTTATTTATGTTTGAGAATAGGTAAACAACTTGTTCTTGTGCTAATTACCAATTGTCTGTACGGGCAGGCAGGCACTACGCCCTAAAGATAGAATGGTGCTGCAGTCTGCATCTGTGGCAGCTCACTATAAATAACAAAATTAGTAATGAACACTGATATGTTTTGCTATTCGGCTGCTTATATAAAGAAATGTCACAGGAGAGGGGAACAGTGAATGCATCACGTCCTCAAGCAGCCTGTGTCCCTTTCTTCAGGCAGAAAGCTGAAGAAAGATCCTCTTTGGACCACAGAAGGGCATGATAAATCACAGTCCTGGCACAGGCTGGGATCAGCACCACTGCTTCAGAAGAAGAGGCAAAAGACTGACAGGTGGCCATCCTGAAGTCAAATGGTTGCATATACGTCCAGGCACATGCTTTTGTCCTCTATTTCACCTTTGCCTCTTTAATTCATTGGAAGAGCCTGACGTTTAATTTATGCTGGCATAAATGAATCAATTGGAGGACTGCACCTGAGGCTTACTGAAGATAGGGTTCTGGATGGACCATGCCAGGACTTTAATGCTGGAAGATGAAAGGCAGCCTAGTAGTTGGGGCACGCACCTGCTCAGGCTCTGGGAGATGTGGCTCGCTTCCCAGCTCTCTCATCCCTGCCCCGTGTGTCCTGTTTGAGCCAAAGTGCTTGCAAGCCCTGGCCTCTGTTCCCTGTTTGGGAGCGGAGGCAGCAGCTGTTCCTACGGAGCAGGAAAAGCAAACTGCACGCTGTGAGCCCGCCTGATAGCCTGGCAAGGAGTGTGCAGGATAGATAATGCTCTATCGCCAGCTCAAAGCAGACAGAGGCAGGAAGCAATGTCTCTGCTGCCCTGCTTTTTGTCCCCTGCCTGTGATGTTGCTGAGGGAGCCTGCTTGGGTATGGGGCCCAGGAGTGGGAAGCATCTGTTTTCCTGTATACACGCAAAGAAAGTTTGGGATCCAGTAAACAACCCAAGTTTACTGTTAGTCTGGAAAATACCACCGGCAATGACAACGTGCTGCACAAACTGCTCCCTTTCTTTTTGCTTCTTGGAAACATCAGCTCAGCTTTCTTACTAAGGCTTGATCCCATGCCACGTAGGGGTGATCAGCATGTTGGGGTCACATGTGGCTTGGCCTAGGCATGGCACTTGGGGCTTGAGGTGAGACAGATCCAGACTGTGAACATGTGGTAGCCTTGCTGGGAAAGCTATGGCTCCAGAGAAATGCTGGTGCATGGTTAGCCAGGAATCTGCCTCTGCTGCTGAAAACCCATCAGATTTCCACATACATGAACCTGCCTTATGGGGGAACCAACAGGAGAGCACAGCACATGCACAGAACTGCATTATATAATGAGGTTATCTAGTGACAGTGGAGTGCCCTTAGCCTGTGCTGAAGTTAAGTGTAATCAAAAGCTCTCCACAGTCTGCAGGACTAAAGCAACCAGAGTCCACAAGCATGCACTGGAAAGCCCTTGCTGAAGTGGTGGAAGTGGTTGAACACCACTGCAGTCAACAGGGAGACCTCCAGCTTCCCCCAGAATCTTGCTGGGACTCAAGTCTCATTTTCAATAAGGTGGCCAGCCAACATACTTGGCAAGCACCCAGATGGATAGGGTAGCCAAAAGAAGGGAGAATCTATTATGCACACAACTCTGATGCAATTCACACACAAACACAGTGAGAAGATCTGTAGGTGGCCAAAGCCACCACAAGGGCAGACCCCTGAGATGAGTATTTACATACACTGAGTCATAAATTTCCCAGGAAAAAAGATTATCATAATCACAGAATAGCATCACATTTTAATAAGAAAAGCATGTTTTTACTGAAATCATGCAAAGACATATATCTGTGTCTTTCTATGTGTTGCAAGGGCTCCTCTTTTCTCAGAAAAATAGTGAAAAACACTTTGATAATTTTGACATGTGCATGAACTGTTGACAGGACTGTTGTAGATGAAGGTAGCAGGTTTTGGGATGGGTCTGTAGTGCTGCAGCTAGCTCAGTGATCATATGCAGGGTGTTAGCTCATATGCATAACTCAACCCTTTGAATTAAAATCTTGCAAATGTATTCCCAGAGGTTGTGGCAAAGCCTTGGGGTGCCAAGGATTACATAAATGTCTAGAGCTTGTCGTATGTAGAGGCCTGTTAAGAGTCAAACAGCAATTTGAATCCTGAACTAGCAACTCATCCATGTCTTTGGTAGTAGGGAAGAGAGTCATGAAAATTATTTCCAACTTAGAACACCGATGGCCCAAAGTGTACCATTTCAGCCCCTGATTTTCAGAGCTGTGCTCTGTGTGTCGTGTCACTGCAAAGACAACTTTGCACTTAATCAGTTTTGGCAGTGGTGTGTAAAAGAAGTGCTGGTATGCACACATTAGCCTTTATTTGAAAACAGCGTGGCTGTCAACTGGGACACTTTCCCCTTTACCTTCTGCCCCTCCTTTTCAAAAAATAATGAGGGCTTCAGTACTTTTTGTAAATTTATGAATATTTTCTCTATTCTTTTCTGGTGGAGCAGTAGAACAGAGTTGGATCTAAACTGATCTGAAGGAAGGAATGTTAGACAGGCAGTGTTCAAAGCCAGGCTGGACAAGGTCTTGAGCAACTTGGTCTAATGGGAGATGTCCCTGCACATGGCAGCAGGGATTACAGATGATCTTTAAGGTCCCTTCCAACCCCTTAACAATTGATGATTCAATGAAACCTGTGAGACCCTCAAGAGAGAGGCTGATTTTAAGTTTGTGATTTTTTGTACTGTCCTGTAGTCCATGAACAAAGTAGAATGTCTCTTTTGATTTCCTTCTGTATAGTTTTGTGCATTAGTTCACCTTAGCTAGTTCATTTTACACAATTAACTTTCAGTTTCTAGAACTATTCCTTCTTCTGCAAAACCCTTCCGAGCAATGCTAAAATAAATAGTACAGGCTGCAATTACATAATGGAGGAAAACTCCCCCATATTAGGAGGAATTTGGGGTAGTGGGAGACAGGGTCATTAAAACTTTATTCTCTTGGCATTGGTACTGTATTACCATAGCATCCAGTGTTTTCAACCAGGCCAGAAGGCCCCATAGCACAAGGTATTGTAATTTTGCCCTCACCCTTCCCCCATAAGTAATATTCTGAATTTTTCTTTTATACTCTAAAACTGATTTTTATGTTTACTTAGCTGCTTTCACTTGTATGATGACAAAGTCTGGTTTGGGTGGGTACCTAATGGATGATGGGAATGTTGTTCACGCACTTGAGACCTAAATGTTGGAAGTAACGTGTGTGGCACTTCCCTGGTGTCAATTAAGTTGAAGGAGATGTGAACATATAATATCCTGTAAAAGCAAGCAAGCTGATTCAAACCTACAGGAAAATAATGATGTCATGACATTATGTCATTGTGTTTATGGAACTATCTTACTAAATCTTGAGCTGAAGATCAGCACCGGCAAGATCAGGGCCGCATGTGATCTGGTTTCCTGTAAGACACACACCTGTGTGTCGGTTACTGTATTGTAATTAGAGCACAATGAAGAAAAAGATTATTATCTGGGGAAAGAGGCCCTCAAGACAGCTTTCAATTCAGTTGAAGTAAATCCTGAGGAAGAGTAGGGATCTGCAAAGGTCTCAGGAGGAAGGAGGAGACAGCGGGTATGACGAGAAGAGCAGTGAGATACTTGTGACAGGAGGAGTTCAATGACAGGTGGATGACAACAGCATTATATACAGGTGGGATCTGAAGCAGTGGGGCAGTTGATGGACGAGATGGCAGCAGAGTGGTAAAAATATCCTTTGATTCTCCCATTGCTTTAAAAAAGTACAACAAAAGAGAAAAAAAAAAAAACCCAACAGCAGCATGACCTAATCCTC